GTTGTCGAAAGAAAGGGAAGAGCGAAGGGCGTGAGGGTGGGGGAGGGTGGAGATTTTTTTGTTGTAAAAAACGCAAGAAGTGTCAGTATGAAGAAAAAGCGAGGACCAGAGTCTACTCGAACTGTAGGAGGGAAGGCAACATAAGGAGAAACGCAAACGAAAAAGTGAGCAAAAATGAGTGTCAGTGCAGAAGAAAGCGACGTAAAAAAGGTCAAGCCAAGTCGGGAAAGTCGAGCAAAGCAAACACAAACACACACACACACAACGCAAGTGTCGGATGAGGACAATGAGGAGGATGTCGAGGATGATGTGAAGTAGATTTATGAAGGGTGGCGAATTTGTGATAATCGATCATCGCAGACTTAAAAAGTGTAAACAATGCGAGAGACCGGGCGGTGGTGCGATGGATGTCAAAAGGGGGGGGGGAGGCGCGTTCTGCTGTTGAACGCCAGAGTGATTGAATTTTGGGTGGAAGTGGGGAAGGGGGGAACAGGGCGAAAGAGAGAGCGAAAAGAGACAGAAAGGAACGGAGCGTCATCGTGTAACACATGTTGCAGATCAGAATTTTTAAAAAAGAAAAAAAGAAATAAAAAAAAAAAAAGGAGATACCTGATTCCTATCAAACGATAATCAATGAGATAAATAAAAAAAAGTGAAAGAGAAAGAGAGAGAAAAATGAAGAGAGAACGAGCAAAGGATGGAAAAAAAAAAAAAAAAAAAACCGAGCCGTGACAAAAAGCGAAAGAAACAGGGAAAAAAAAAAAAAAAAAAAAAAAAAAAAAAAAAAAAGGCGGGATAACATTGGAGACCCGGGGCACCACCAACCGAAAAAAAAAAAAAAGGAAAAAAAGGAAAAAAAAGGAAAAAAAAAGGAAAAAAAAAGAAAAAAAAAAGGAAAAAAAAGGAAAAAAAAAGGAAAAAAAAAGGAAAAAAAAGGAAAAAAAGGAAAAAAGGAAAAAAGGGTTTTCGTTTGACTGAGGGATCGCCCTCTGCCTCACTTGTTCACAAGAACACAACACAAACACATCTAGCGATTGCCCTTGATGGCTTGTGCGACTGTGCTATGTGGATGATTGAGCACGGACGGAACAAAAAAAAAAAAAACGAAAAAAGAAAACGAAAGAAAAAAAAACCGAAAAAAGCGCCTCGGCCGACACCATGAGTTGCAGCGCAGAGCGAGCACGGCGCGTTCTGCCGCCACCGCGTCTTCAGAAATACATTGCTGACATGAACTGCTTGCGGCTGGAAGTGCGATCCATCGCCATCGGCCACGGATCAACGTGACAGGAAACCCTCAAACCTTAAAAAAGAAAAAAAGTGGAAAAAAAAGGAAAAAAAAAGCTTTTTTCGGCACTTGGATGGAGGTGCTGGCTGGCTTCGCTTCCGAAAAGAACGTCTCGGGCGACACTGCTCTGTCGTCAATGGGGAAAAAGGACGCTGCGGATCCTGGCCACTGAGCGGCAGCAGGAGAACGAGGGCGACGAGAAGAGAGAAAGAAGAAGAAGAAGAAGAAAAAAAAAAGCCAGCTTGGATTTCAGCGTGGGAGAGATCAACCACAGCCCCAAAGCTCACCCCGCCCAACAAGACGCTCCGAAGGGAGGGGGGGGGATGGCACTCCCGCGTCCTTGACTATGGAACGACTTGGATGGATCATAACAACACCCCAGCATCAAACCAAGCCACCTCAAGAGCGGAGGAAACAAGCGAGACGAGCAGGAAGAAGAAAAAAAAAAATCAAAAACCACAGAAAAAAAAAAGTCGATTTTTTTTCTTTTCTTTTTCTTGTCGTTTCTTCTCTCTTGGCTTTGTCCTGGCTTGTCTGGGTGCTTGTCTCTCGAGTAGGTCGTGCTGTGCTGGGGATCGGACATGCACATCTGAGGCTTGCAGTGTTACCTTTTGCAACAGAAATCTAACGGAAGGAGAAAAAAGAAGAGGGAAAAGAGAGGGGAAAAAAAGAAAAAAAAAAAAGAAAAAAGAAAGAAAAAAAAAAAAGAAGAAAAAAAGTCGGAGTTTGCGGATTGGGAAAAAAACGCTTTCGAGTGAGCTTTGGCTGGATTTGGATGGTTGGACAAGATGAAGCGATGGTGAGATTGTCAGAAACGAAGCGCAAGAAAAAAATGGACGAGGGAGGAAATGTGGAAGGGAGAGAGAACGACAGGCTGGGAAGGAAGGGGAGAGACCAAAAGGGATGAACATGAGGGAAAGCGTGAAAACCTGTCAACTTGTTTTTGGACTTTGACTTTGTTAGTTTTGTTGGAGTTTGGGTGGCCCCTCACGACTCCCACGGTTTCGTGAGGCTGGCCACGTCGATGTGTGCCGTTGAGTTTGCTGGTCGTTTGAAGATCCATCGCGAGGGGCGAGGAAGTGCACGCTTGTGGGATCAGGGCGTGGAAGGAGGTGGATCAACAACAAAAATGGTAGCCCTTTTCCCTTCTTGAGTGCCACACCTGAAAGGCCCTCGAGTCAGACCGTGTCAGCTGCAAGACATCAATGCCAGTCGACTTGAAGCAACCAGAGCAGAGACAAATGGCACAAAGTCACGCCAAACCACATGATTCAAGTCACGACGACAACAAACAAATCACACAACAACAGCACATCCACCACATTCACAACACCAGCATCTGCTTCATAGCTCACAATGTTGTGCTTCGAAAGGACGTGGAAGTATCGTGAGGTTGGAATCGCGACGGAGAAGGATTTTTTTGACAAGTTTCGTTTGTTTTGGGGTCTGACAAACAATTCCGCGCTGCAGCAGCTTCATCTGACATTGACTTCCCTCCCCGACTTCGATTTGATGCCTATTCTTCAGAGCAACATCTCTTCAAGTCTCAGGGGAGCTGGAGATTGCAAGAGGACTCGGAAATGTCCAATCAATTCGAAAGTTGTCGCTGAATGACTTGAAAACGCCCTTTGCTGCCCCGAGTAAGAAGACTCGTTTTTGCACCTGTCCACTGGCTAGAACATTTCTCATCGCACAAGAGTTCGTGGCGGTGACCAGCTTGGCTGAAGCACACAACAAGGCACAAAGTGCAGCATTCGCACGTACAACTTTTTCATCTCCGTTCGCCTTCGCTTCAACTCGATAACACTTCTACCCTATTCTTGATCATTCCAACCACCTTTCAGAATCGAGCAAGACCTCATCTGAGAAGCTTGTTCCAAGTCTCCTCCAATTGGAGTTCAGTCCACTCGTTTTTTTTTTTTTTTTTTTTTTTCCGACTGACACACTTTGTAACAATGGGTCGCAAGCGAAGGGCAGGTAAAACAACCTCGTTTGAACCTTTTACTCAACTAGAAGAGATCGAATCCAATGGAGCCTGCCATTGCATTGGACCGTTGCAGTAAACTTCCTGCCATGAACGTGCAGAGAACGACGTGCGCTGTCGATCCGTCCTTTCTGGACCCATGCACCACCAATGCTTACTTTGATTCTGTGTCTGTGTGGTGCGTGTCTGTGCGCTTTGGAACGGATGCTCGACGCTGAGCAGAGGACGATGAAGACGAGCGCGAAACGTACAAGGTAGAGCACTCGGACGACGACGAGGACGACGACGACGACGACGACCACGACGATGATGACAACGAGAACGACGACGATGATGATGACGACGACGACGATGGCGGTGCGCTGCCGAGAGCCGCGCGCAAGCTGGACGCAGCAGAGGTCGACGACGGCGCCAACGACGAGCTGCTGCACGACAAGCCAGACATGCATGGCACGGGCGGGCTGACCATCGCACACGACTTTGGAACCCTGCCACTCAAGCCGGATCACATGTCGCGGCCGCTGTGGGTTTCGCCGGACGGCCACTTGTTTTTGGAGACGTTTTCGCCAATCTACAAGCTGGCCACAGACTTTCTCATTGCCATCTCCGAGCCAGTGTGCAGACCGCACCTCATCCACGAGTACCGCCTCACGCCGTACTCGCTGTATGCCGCGGTCTCGGTTGGGCTGGAGACGGAGAACATTATCGACGTGCTTGGCCGTCTGTCCAAGAATGCCATTCCCGCAGAGATTTGCGACTTTATTCGCGACTGCACCATCTCGTACGGCAAGGTCAAGCTGGTGCTCAAGCACAACAAGTATTTTATCGAGAGCTCTTACCCGCAGGCACTCGAGAAGATTATGGACGACGAGGTCATTGCTCAGGCACGCATGCCGACCGACAGCTTCTCGTCTGGATTCTCCATCTCTGATGCGCCCACCGAGGGCATCTCGTTCGCAGCGATGGCCGCCCCCGACGAGGCGAATGGCGGCGCACGGGCGGCAGGCTCATCCTCCGCCGCGCCGAACGCCTCAGCCGGCTCTTTTCTCGAGCAGATGAATCGCGCGGAAGACGAAGCCGAGCTCCGTGAGGAGGTGGTCGAGCACGAAAGCGAAGAGCTCGCCGAGGTGCGACTCTTGCTGGAATCGACCGCGGTCGGCGGGCGCGGGCCAGTCCCTTCGTCGTCGTCGCTGCCGAATCGCAATCCCAACTCCATGGATACTCGCGCAGATGGCCATCCAACCGTCAAGCAAAGCAGCAGCGGCGACAGTGGTGAGGGCACACCGCAACAACAACAACAGCAACAACAACAACAACAACAACAACAGCAGCAGCAAGAAGCCGCGATGGACGCTGGCAGCCACGACAGCAATGGCATCACTTTCGACGACGCTGCTGCCACCGAGAACGAGAACGAGAACGACGCGGATGGCTTTGCAGACGCGGTCGCGCTTCCAGTGGGAGGCCCCAAAAAGGTCATGTCTGTGGAAATTATCAAAACCATGGTCGAAACAGTCAAAAAGCGGTGCATTGGCGCACTCGATTACCCACTCCTTGAAGAGTACGACTTTCGAAACGACACGGTCAATCCGAACCTGGACCTCGACCTCAAGCCGATTGCGACTCTCCGTCCGTACCAAGAAAAGAGCCTCAACAAGATGTTTGGCAACGGACGAGCGCGATCGGGCGTGATTGTCTTGCCGTGCGGCGCCGGCAAAACGCTGGTCGGCGTGACTGCCACTTGCACTGTGAAAAAGCGCACGCTTGTGCTGTGTACCTCTGGCGTTGCTGTCGAGCAATGGGCGCGACAGTATCAAATGTGGTCGACCATCCATCCCGACCGGATTGCGCGCTTCACGTCCGACTCGAAAGACCCGCCCCAGGACTGCGGCATTGTCATTAGCACCTATTCGATGGTGGCCTTCTCGGGCAAACGCTCAGCCGAGTCGGAAGTCATCATGCAGTTCATGCAAAACACCGAGTGGGGTTTGGTGGTCTTGGATGAGGTGCACGTCGTGCCTGCAGACATGTTCCGCAAGGTTCTCATGACCGTGTCGGCGCACTGCAAGCTCGGCCTCACGGCCACGCTCGTTCGCGAGGACGACAAGATTACGGATCTCAACTTTCTCATTGGCCCCAAGCTGTACGAGGCGAATTGGATGGATTTGCAAAAGCGTGGCTTTATCGCGCGCGTTTCTTGCGCCGAGGTCTGGTGCCCCATGTCGCCAGAGTTTTACAAGGTGTATCTTGAGACGCGAACGCGCAAGCGGCAGCTTCTCGAGTGCATGAATCCGTTAAAGTTTCAGGTAGGGTCGGTTGGAGAGGGGGAAGAAAAAACAAAAACTAAAGGATGATGGTCGTCAGCTTTGTTGTTGATTTGTTTTTTGTTTTCTTGCTTTTTCACAATTCCTCCCCCCCCGCCTCCCCCGCCTCCTCCTCCTGCTCCTCCATCAGACGTGCCAATTCCTCATTCGCTACCACGAAAAGCGCGGTGATAAAATCATCGTGTTTAGTGATAACGTGTTTGCTCTCAAGGTGTACGCGACCAAGATGGGCAAGCCATTCATTTATGGTCAGACGGGCCAGACGGAGCGCATGCGCGTCCTGCAGCACTTCCAACACAATGCCGGTCTGAGCACCATCTTTATCTCAAAGGTCGGCGACAACTCGTTCGATCTACCAGAGGCGAATGTCCTGATTCAAATTTCGGCACACTACGGCTCGCGTCGACAGGAGGCCCAGCGTCTCGGCCGCATTTTGCGTGCCAAGAAGGGCTCGCTCGCGGAGGAGTACAATGCCTTCTTTTACTCGTTGGTCTCGCAAGACACGTCGGAAATGTACTACTCTGGAAAGCGCCAGCAGTTCTTGGTGGACCAGGGCTACACGTTCAAAGTCATTACGAAACTGGAGGGCATGGAGGACATTCCCGATCTCGCCTACCGCAGCAAGACCGACCAGCTGGATTTGCTCACGACCGTCATCCAGGCCAACGACGCGGACGCCGAGGACGAGAAGCTTGGCGGTGATGATTTGCTGACGGGCGGAGAAGCGCGCAGTGCTGCCGGGGCGTCTGGCAAGAAGTCACGCAAAGCAGCAACGCGGCGGATTGGCAGCATGCAGTCGCTTTCGGGTGCTGACGGTATGGCCTACATGGAGACTTCTGTCGCCAAGAAGAAGCCACGCCTCGATCTTCGCCAAGAAATTCTCAGAAAGTACAGTCGTCGCTAAAACAGAGAGAGAAACAAAAAAAGGTGGTGTGATTTGCCGCTTGCAATCCGCTTGCAATTGTTGAAACACGCAAGGATGGCCCGTCATCCAAATAAATAGAGAGTTACAATGAAATACCACTTGCCTTGCCACTTGGCGAGAGCGAATGGGCAACGTCGAGACTGAAGCGACCTTGTTTTTGTTTGGAGAACACAAGTTCCACACAAACAACCATCTCGCCAACTCCCCTCACACATTGACTCAAACGAAACGAAAAAAAAAAAACCGCTACGCTCCAGCCCGGCTGCTGTTCGCAGCATTGTGAGAGAGACTCTGGAGGTTTTAATGAGCAAAAGCCGCGCCTTCTGTTCCTCTCCCCCTTTCTCGACCTCCTCGTCCCTTCCTCAGCACTCCAGTGATATCAAGTAAATGTAGGTTTGTTGTTGTTTCTCTCTTTTGTCGAAGAATTTCGAGTGTCGTCAACTCAACTGAACAGTTCAGTTTTTTTTAGCATTGTTTTTTAAAATTGTTGTTTTGTTTTTTATTTTATTTTGAAACCCGCTTCAATTCCAACACACTACTACCCCCTCACCTTCGCTCTCCTGTGCTGCTCATCACTCGCGCTGCCCTCTCCTACTCGTATTTGAAGTTCAATCCCGCAGCAAGGGCCCAACAAGATGGCACGGTCGCGGCTGGCAATCCTTCTCGTTGTGCTCTGCGTCGCTCATTTCGCCGACGCACAATCGGCTTCGTGTTCGAACGCGCCTGCGTTCACCGGGTCGAGTGGTGCGGCACGCCCGTATACCGGATCCATTGGCCTGTACAACGCGCCGTACGAAAGACCTCAAGGCGGGAGCAACATTGGCGGCGCAAAATGCTTGACTTGGCAATATACTCCACTAACTGCAGGAACCATCAACATGACCACCTGCGGCTTGGTGTCTGACGATACGATGATGTTTCTTTCGAGTGGCTCTTGTGTCAACAATTTCGGCACTATTCTCAACCAGATAGCCGACGACAGCTGCGGCCTCCAATCAACCTTGTCACTCTCAATCAATGCGAGCACAATCTACTACTTGCACTTGTGCAGGTACGCTTCCGATCGAACCAATCCAGCCTCCCCAGGACTAGCCAACGGGAATGTCGTGTTTAATTTCCTGTGTCCTGCTGGCATGACGGATCACGATTCGTTGGTTGAGACAGCCTGTGTTGCCTGCGGCGCGGGCACGGACACCTCAACCGGAGCCAAGGCTGGACCCTGCACCAACTTTAACGTTCCTGCGGGCTCGTTTGATCACGATTCCAACTCTGCCACCGCGGCGATTACTTGCCCTCCTGGAAACTATGCGCCCGCAGCCGGCACGACGTGCACCACTTGCGGCACTGAAACATGGGACCATGATTCGTCGTCTGCAACTGCCTGCACTTCTTGCACGTCCGCATGCTCTGCTAGCTCCTTTCAATCGCAGGATTGTACTCCCACGAGCAACCGCATTTGCACTTCGTGTACCAGTCCCTTCTATGGCGATGCCACCAACCGCACATGTGTCACCAGGAGGCACTTATCCGCATGACGACACGCGCATGTGCGACTCAGAGTGTCCAGGCACTTGGTACCTTTAAGGCTCGATTTGTGTTGCGTCGTGTACTTCAAACTTTGCCGACCCAGTAAGCCGCCTTTGCGTTGAAAGCTGCCCTGCACCCAACTATTTCGGTGATGCTTCTCGAACCTGCGTCACTCCATGCCCCGATGGAACGTACGGAAACCCCTTGAGTTCGCCTCGTGTTTGCGTTTCAACTTGCACAGGCGGGTACTATGCCGAGCCAATCAGCAAGGTTTGTGTCCAGACTTGTCCTGCTGGGACTTATGGCGACGGTCTGCGGACTCCGCCGTCGTGCTCGGCGAGCTGCACTGGTGGACGCTTCAAAGATGACAGCACTCGACAATGTGTTGCGAATTGCCCAGCCAACTCTTGGGCGGACTCTCCGACTGGCACCTGTGCTTCGAGCTGTTCCTCGGGACTTTTCAGGCAGAATTCAACTTGGACGTGTGTGGCGGAATGTGATGGGAGCCTCTTTGCAGATCCTACCAGCGGATCATGCGTTGTGTCATGTCTGTCGCCGACGTACGCAAATTCTCTTGCTACTCCGCCATCGTGCGCGGCGAGCTGCTCTGGTGGACGCTTCAAAGATGACAGCACTCGACAATGTGTTGCGAATTGCCCAGCCAACTCGTGGGCCGATTCATCTACACACAGTTGCGCCTCGACCTGCTCCGTCGGGTTTGCGCACAATGCCACCTGGTCTTGCGTCAACACTTGCACTGTCGGCTATGCCGACAACTCGACTCGGTCTTGCGTGACTCGTTGCCCAAGCGGCACTTTTGCTTTGAAGCCGTCTCATTCTTGCGTTGCTGCGTGCCCATCTGGCTACAAAGCCTCCAACTCCACCAGCTCATGCGATGATGGCTCTTCTGGCGCTCAAAGCGATGGTGGCAGCAGCCCTGTTGCCGCAGCTGCTGGCGCCGCAGCAGCAGGCGTCGTCGTTCTGATTGCGATCGTGGTCGCGGTTGTACTTCTGCGTCGAAGGAAGCGAAGCCACGGCAACCACAAGATGGAAAGCACTTCCGCTACTATCGAAATGACCAACCCGAACTTTGCTCCGGGCCACGATCCAGTCTACGATGTTGCTGTTCAAACCAAGCAAAAGAGCTCTTATCCTGCCTCGACAGCCTACTCCACCCCAGCTGACTACGCACTGCCGCTCATGCCAAACCCCAGCGATCCCGAGTATGCAGCGGTCGGAGGATTGCCGTATTCCACGCCGTCAACTGAATACAGCCTTGCAGTGGTCTCAACATCTGCAATGCTGTCATCGCAGATAGCCACTGGCGAGCGCAAGCTGCTCGGACGAGGCGCCTTTGGAGAAGTGTTTTCCGCGAACGTGTCCATTGCCCTCATTGCTCCCCAGCATCGCCACCTGTTTGCCCCTGGCGCGCAGACGGTCGATGTCGCAGTCAAGACTCTGCAATTGGATGCGAACGTTCGAGCGGAGCAAGACTTTGTGCACGAGGCCGAGCTCTTGCGCAGGCTGAACCGCACCAACATTGTCAATGTCCTCGCGGTGCTCCCAGCCGGACGAGGTCAACCGCAAATGCTCGTTCTGGAGTATGTGCCGTATGGTAAGTTCTTGACAATCGTAGTCCCAGCTGGTGAAGCGGATTTTCATTGGTGTTCACTTTCATGAAAACTCGACAGGTGATCTCCGCAACCTGCTTCGGAAATCGGCAAAGAGTGGTGTCGTCTGGTCGCCAGACGAGTATGTGCATGTGGCCACCGGTGTTGCTGAAGGCATGGCGTACTTGGAGCAATCGCGCGTGCTTCATCGTGATTTGGCCGCACGGAACATCCTTGTTGGCGAGCATCTGGTCGCCAAGATTGCCGACTTTGGCTTATCCAGGGAGCTGAATGACAAGGACTATTACAAGTTGCAGTCGAAGCAGAAGTTGCCGATTCGCGTAAGTCGATTGATTGCCGAGGACGCTTTGGGTCGATGGTTTGTCGTTTCTTGTAGCCTTGTATTTACAGTCTGGTGCATCGTAGTGGATGGCGCCCGAAACACTCAACTATCGCAAGTTCTCGAGCCAATCGGATGTATTTTCGTATGGCGTTGTGCTTTGTAAGTTGGATCTGCACTTGTCGAGCAAAGGTTGAATTCCGCGACGTTGCTCACGCTTGCGTTTTGAATCAGGGGAGCTCTTTACAATGGGCCAAGCACCCTGGGCGAATGTCGAGCGGGAGCAGTACCTTGTGGGTCTGGAGCGCGGCGATCGTTTGCCGCAACCTCGGGACTGTCCTGCGCATCTCTACTCGCTGATGTTGACGACCTGGGAATGGGAACCCTCTGCCCGCCCTTCGTTTGCCGACTGCGTGCTTTTACTTCAGCAGGGCCGTTCGCCAAGCGGCACAGTTCGCGATTTGGGGGCTATGGTGGTTTGGAGTACTGCGCGCAACACGAAGTGATAATTCATGCACATTTTTTTGCCATTGTCATGTCTTGCAACTGAAATAGAAAGAATGCATCTGTCACGATTTTTGGTTCCAAACACACACAAAGCACGACACCAACTACACCACGACATCATCAGTATCGTCATCCTCATGCAGACGCAGATGCGCCTTTTGATTCGAAAAGTGAGCCGCTGGGCGCATGCCGACAGCAGAGATGGGCGACGGCGAATCGGGGTTGGCATCTTCGGGAGCAATCTCAGCGGCCAGCGACGAGTAGCGCACGTTGAGTTCAGAGTACTTGCGTCGGTAGTGATAGACTACAGCGCCGAGGGCAATCACCACCAACACCGCAGGCACAGCCACCGCAGCAATCGGGAAGGACGAGCCAGAGTCGTCGCCCTGGACCACCTCAACGGTGAACGATTCGGCGTGATTGTCGACCTTGTTGTGAATGGACAGCGCGACAGTGTACGTGCCCTTCTTTTTAAACGTGTGGACGATACTGCTAGAGCCATTGATGACGACATTTTCCGGACCAAAGCTCCACAGGTACGTGGATGCGCCAAAGTACAGATTCGGCTGCATGCGCACGGCAAACGTCGTCTTCTGGTCCACATAGACGGTGGGAGGGAAGTCAAACCCGGCGACGGCCAGGTTGTCTGGAAAGAGAGCGAAGGGGCGGATGGAAGAGTCAGCCAGTTTGTGGTACGACAACAACAACCACAAGAACAAGAAACGGGGTGCTCTCGCTCTTTTCAGATGGCAGAGTCAGCCAGTTTGTGGTACGACAACAACCATAACAACAAGAAACGGGGTGCTCTAGCTCTTTGACTCAACAAACAGAATACTCACCTTGAACCTCAATGGTCATGGAGGCGGAAGACTCACTGATACCATTCTTCACAGTGACCGAGACCGAGAACAGACCACCGGCGGCAAAAATGTGAGTGACATTCGGGAAGCTGGTGCCGACGGTCGCCGTGTCATCACCAAAGTTCCAGATGTACTGTGCGTTCTCCAGCGATCCCTCTTGAACAGCGGCACGGAAGATGACGGTGGTGGACACCGGAATGGCGCTGGTGACTGTGGCCGAGAGGGTCAGACCCAGGATGGGCGACTTGGGACACGGGGTTGCAACGGGCGCCAACGATTCGTCGCCGCCAACGCAACTATCGCCAGCAATCTTGCGGTAGCCCTGTGACTTTGGATACGTGGTGCCACCCGGGCATGGCGACGGGATACTGGCCGGAATGCTGCCGGGCTCCAGCACACACGCGCTCGAAATGTCGGGCTGGTAGTAGCCAAAGTCGCATTCAAAATCCTCGCGCGAGCATTGGCAGTTGCTATCCTGCACAACAGCTTCGTGGTCCCTTCCATTGATGCAGCGCGCAGACAGCTTGCGACGTTCGTAGACGCGCGAACGACCCAGGATGCACGGCATGTCGCTCGACGGATCGAGCGGCGCCCAAAACTCGTAGTCGCTCTCAGTGCACGGCTCGCCAAGCACAGTCGAAAAGTCCACCTGGATGGCAATCCACTCATACACGTACTCGTCATAACCATAAACGGAAAACACGACCGAGGTTTCGCCGGGCTCGGTCAGCAGGCCAGCGATGCGAATCTTGTCCTCGAAAAACTGGAATTGTTGCCACGTCCGACCCTCGTTGTACGAAAAGCTAACACGGGATTATCGAAACAAAGTCCGAACAAAAAACACGAGTAAATAAAGGGTGAACAATGGGAACGGTGCCAGTGGCATATCTTGGCATTGTTTGTTTTTTGTTTTTGTTGTTGTTTTGGGAAAGATACGTACGAGAGAATATTCGTGTTAATGTCCCGTTCGATCGCCACAATGAGACCGCCATGATCGGCCGTGGCAAACATGTGCGAGCCGCGCAGCACGTGCTTCCAGTTGGCGCCTGCATCACGACTGACAAACACATCTTGCGGCACCTCGTCGCTGTAGTAATCCAGGTCGGCGCCCACGACGCCGGATGCAACAATCAGGCCAATGGCCGACGCCGACGAGTAAATTGGCGTGGCACGAATGAAAGGCAGGGCAGCGGTCAAATCGCTGTGGAGGTGCAGCGAGCAATTGGCCTGGAGAAAGGGAGAGAAGCGAAAGAAATGAGCTGCAGAGCTGTTGGAAAGAGTCACCCGTGACTTACAGCAATGCATGAAAACGGATCGCCATCGACGTCTTCCGCCGGAGGAGTAATTGCATGCCAGTTGCCGCCCTTGTCGTAGGTAATGACCGAGCGAACCAACGTATCGGTTCCAAACTGTTGACAAAGAGTTGCCGTGAGCCCAATCAGTCAGTACAAACTTCCTGCTCCCTTTTCCCCATCCACACAAAAACTTTGCCTAACCGTGACCAAATGATTGGCAATGTAAACACCCCGCATGCTATTCACGGGAGTGAAATCAATCACTCCACGACTGTTCTTGCTCGGCAGGTAGACAATGTCCTCGAGCGAAGCAACGTAGGAGAGGCCTTGACGGCCAGAAATGTACAAGTCTCGACGATTGGTATCGCCAAAGTAGGACGCGTGGGCGACAAAGACTTGCTGCTCGAACGAGTCCAGAACAAAGACACCTTCGGCCGTGCCAGCCACAGGGAATGTCGCCTTGGTCAATGTGGAGCGATTGAGGGACACGTACAGGTCTTGCGCATCGGTCTACAAACAGAGCAGGAATGATGAGCGCAAAATGAAACAAAAAACAGAGGCACAAAAAACAAAAAAACAAAAAAAAAAACCGCGTTTCGCTGCGTACAATGGCAAACATGTACTCGCCGTCAAGTTGGAAGTACGAAAGTCCAGTCATCAAGGTCTGAAAAGTTGCTCCAAGATCGTTTGAGACGGACAGCTGACCATCTGTCGGAAAAAAAAAAAAAAACAAAACAAACAAACCAAAAAATCAATAGTTGCAACTTGCCACGACGCTCGAGAAATATCAGAAACTACAATACATACCACGGGTCTGGGCATAGATGGTACCCTCGGCATCGCCATACGTCACATCGCCAAAGGCAAACTGCTCGACTTGCTTGAGAATCATGGTCCACGAGCCTCCGTTGTTGGTCGAAATCCAGAGATCGCCAAATGCCAGGTTGACGTTTGAGACGCGCGAGTTGATGGCCATCAACGTGTTGGGATCAGAGGGATGGAAGAGGAAGGCGGACGGGTAGAAGGGCGTGTTTCGCGCAGTGTAGCTCGCACCACCATCGATAGTGACGTATGTGACATTCTTTTTCGCGTCCGTAAGATGGAAACGGCTCGTGAAAAAGTTGTCGAAATGCCAGTCGTACACGACGGCGTCAGCAGGCAGGGCAGACGCCATGTTTGTGAACGTGTGTCCATAGTCGTCCGAACGCCAGTACCGGGAGGCAAAACCCGTGCCGGGCAGCAGAGTGTCCATGAAGAGTGCAAGGACGACCTGATGCATGGATGTACAGGTGGTGGTGGTGGGGGGGGGCGGGGAGCGAGTTGAGTGAGTGAGGCAAAAACCATTTCTCCCTTTTTTCCAAGCCAAATGCTTTGGAGTTGTCAACAAAACGTACATCGCTGCCATCTCCAAGCCAGTCAACGTTGGCATACGTGCCGATATCGTGGAACAGAACCTGAGCGGACGACAAGCGTGAAGAAAGGTCAGATCACATACCCCCCACAAAAACGCAACAAGAAACCAACGACTTGCATTTGCTGCGTTCGGGGTATCGCTTGCACGTCGAGATGTTGCCACATTTCGCTGGGTTTGCGGTGGGCGATCTGTGCAACAAAAACAAGAGGAGGCGGGGGGAGGGGGAGGGGGAATGGGAGAAGTTAAATGCAAGTCATCCACAAAGCTCAGACATGTTCCCATTTGTGGTAAAAAGCTCAACTGCCGACACGCTCAGAATCTGCTCAAACCACTCGTCCAGGGCAAACATTCGACACGTTGCTGCTCCCCATTTCCAACTATCCAACTTGCCCTCCACCCCAAGCTCACAGAGCAATCGACTGGGCTTTGCATTAGCATCAGCATTCGCATTCGCATTCGTAGTAAAAATGAGAAGCGCGTCATTGGCTTTGGCTTGCTTTTGGCCGTGGCGTTTTTGTTTTTTGGGCTTGGAAGGGCTCCATTCACAGCCACTCGCTCTGATACTCGACAACACAATGCTCATGTCGACGCCGTCTACCTGCGGACGGGGTGGCGGCGCGGGCAACAGTGTGGCGGTGCGGAACGGCCAAGTCGGGCACGTAAATCAGCCTGCTGTTTGAGCGCGGCCGAGCGGCAGCGTCCGCAGTCGCCTGCGCGTTGAAGCCAGCGCGAGCAGTGAATGGGTGCCTGGGTGCAGCGGGTGCAGGCTGGGGCTCCACAGCAGCAGCAGCAGCAGCAGCAGCAGCAGCAGCAGCAGCAGCAGCAGCAGCAGCAGCAGCAACGACGACGACGACCGCCAACGCCAGAATGAGTCGAAACGGCCTCAATTTTGCAGTCATTCTCCAACGAAAAAGAAACAAAAACACGAATGAACTCGAATGAAACACAAAAAAGGGGAACGACACAGAGTATCGTGGTTAATGCGATTGAAAGCGCGGAGCGGACGGCGGCCAGGCTGGATGTGGGGCGTTGAGGGGGAAAATTTGTGACCAATTGGAGGTGATGGCGATTCGCTGCAGCATTGCAGCAAGAGAGCAGCATGGACACCTCCCAACATTCTGAATGTCAATTCCTACAGCGTCACATGAAATGGAAACAAACAAAAACCCTTGGAAGCGACCAAAGGGGAATCGCATTGAAAACTCGAAAAAAACAACACATCCATACAAACGCACGAGCCAAACAACCAACAAAGCGAAGAAGAGCAGAAACGAAACTCAAGACAAAACGTTCGTGACTCAGACGACCGAATCACAGAGCAGAGCAGAGAGAAAAAAAAGAATGGAGGATAGGAATGGACACACAAAGCAACTCGAACAAAAAAACCTATTTGTTTTGTGTTCGTTTACTGAGCGTTCGATGCGTACGACTTGCTCCAGTCGGACGGCGTCGACAGATACAAGTGCTCTTCAGGACGGCCAAAGCCCATGCGGGCAAAGAAGCGAAGCGCAGGCTTGTTGTCGGCCTGGGTATCAATCATGAGCATCCGAGCCTTCTCGCGAGCCATTGCGTCGCAAAACACGGCAAACAGCTGGGTGGCAACGCCCGTGCCTTGGTAGCCTGGATGCACGCCGAGCCAGATGAGGTAGCCATACTTCCAGCTCGAGTGCGGCTTTTCAATGACCGTGCCAATGCAAAAGCCGACAATTTCGTCGTGAATGGTCGCAACAAAGCAATACTCGCTATCACTGCCAAAGAGCTCGAGCACGGTCGACTCCTCCCAAAAGTTGTACAGATTGGAGTAATTTTCAGTGAAGACGCGCTCGCCGAGCAAAAAGACGGGATACAGGTCGTTGATTTCCATGTTGCGGACATTGATTTGCCAACGCTCGGGCCCACGGCGCTTCTTCAGTGCATCCGCAGCATCCGCTGTAGCGGCACGGCGACTTTGGCGGGCGGTAGGCTCGGCGGGGGTGGCATCTGCAGGTGTCGGTGTCGGCGCACGAACCGGGCACGAGTAGGTGTAGTTGACCACGCCGTCCTCTGAAATGCGACGGCATTCGCGGTCGATCGTGGTTGTGCCAGTAGCAAAGCTGTGCGGGACATGGTGGGTAAAGTAGTTGCCGCGTTCCTCGGCACGCCCAGCCGTTGCACCTGCTGCGGACGTTGCAGGCGCATCCAATGCTGCCACACTACTTGAAGGGTTGGCAGCGTCGTTAATGATGAGCTTGCTGGTCAGGTAGACGTGCGGGCAAATCTTGTTCAGGCCCATCTTGGCCATGAAGGCAATGGCCGGGAGGTTGTTGGCCTGGGTGTCTGCGAGCAAGGCCGAAACTTGCTCCTGCTCGGCGAGCCGCTGGAAGAACTTGAACATGGCGGTGGCGACACCCTGGCGCTGGCAGGGCGTCTCGACACCAACCCATTCAACATAGCCGAGCTTGCCGGTGGACGGCTTGACGACGCAATTGGCCATGAGGAAGCCAATCACCGAGGGTTTGAGCGCCAGGTCGTTGGACTCGGCCTCGGATGCAACAGCCGCAGCCGGTGAAGCAACGGTGCTTGTCGCTGCGCCACGTCGACTCCTTCCTTGAGCAGCAGCGGCAGCAGCAGCAGCAGCAGAAGAAGAAGAAGCAGACAAAGTCGTCGGCGCTTCTGCCAACGGAACGACCACGGCCTCGACCACATAGCAAAACTGCGAGCTGGTGGAGATGGCTTCGAGGACGGAGAACTCGGTCCAGATACGGTACATGTTTGGCATCGACTTAGTGAAGAGCTTGAGACCAATGTGGTAGACGGTCGCGACATCGCGGAGCGACATGACGCGAACCTTCAAATCCTTCAGCTGGCAGTGGCCGGGCGGCAATTGTGCCAGCGCCGGGTTGTTTGCAGAGAGCGATCCAGACGGGAAGGTGGCGTGCGGCTTTCCGGAAGTGCGCTGCTGCACCGGCGAGAAGCCCGAGTCGCCCTTCTCACGCGCGCGGGCACGCAGAACACGACCAGGCGCAATTTCCAACGAGCTCGGGAAGCCCATCGAAGGGGCAGGGGAAGACGACGACGATGCGCCAGAGCCGCCATTTGTCAGTGCTTTACGACCTCGCGCACCCGCAACGGCGACGGGAACATGGGGTTGCAGATCGCTGGACATGAGTGCAACTCCGGGCGAGTCGACCGTGGACTCGGTGCGCGACGCGTCGCGGGTGGCCGACACACCACTAAACCTGGTTTGCGGCGATGATGGCGAGACGGCCATGGCGGCCAGATGCACGGAAGCGATCGCGGGCGAAGGCAAACCCAGCGACGGGCGCGACGACCACACGCGTGTGCGCTTGGCTCCAGCCGCGGCGGCGCTCGCCGGGAGCAGCAGCTGCATGGACGTAGAGTGGTCTTGGTCGTCCTCCTCCTCGCTCTCGTCGTCCTCGAGGTCCGCGGCCCGGGCGTCTGCAGCCAACGCAGCCGCAGCAGCCAGAGCGGCAACCTCGTGCGTTTTGTTGTTTTGTTCTTGTTTTTGTTTTGCGCTGGTGGACGCTCTGCCAGCACGGCGACCTCCCGCAGCAGCACCAGCACCAGTCGTAGTAGTAGTAGCAACAGCAGCAGTAGTAGTAGTAGTAGTAGTAGTAGTAGTAGTAGTAGTAGTAGTAACGGCAGTATCATCGTCGGCGGCAGTGGCGATGCGGACTCGGCGGCGCGAACCCTCAACAGGCGACGCTGCTGGTTGGGCTGCCGTTCTGCCGCCGCGCCGCGTCGATGCGGGCGCTGGGCTCGACGTTGCAATCGTGGACGTAGAGGCCACACTGTCGTCCTGCGCAGGCTCGGTGGCCGCTCGTTTGACGCTCGCTCGTGGCATTGGTCGAACTTGTCAGTGAAAAAAAAAAAAATAACAAAAAAAAAAAAAAAAAAAAAAAAGAGTGTCGCGACACGAAAAAAAGAAAAAAAAAAAAAAAAAAAAAGAAAAGAGACTTGTTCAATGCTCGAGAGTGCAGCTGATCGATTTATTGTACAATTTTCCAAAGGATCATGAATAAGAAGCCATAATGCAAAGAATTACAAGTCGGGGGCTATGTACAACAGTTGGAGATTCAGGTGAGGGTTGGAAGGCAACTGCAGATGGCCGAAACCTCACATCATCATCCCATCAAAAGGATAAAGGTATAAAAACAAGCCTAAGTAGGGCTAGGCTTGAACTGGGGTGCCAGAGGGCGGAGTGGGCGTCGAACGCACGTTGTTGGACGATGACGCCGGAGCGACTGGCGTGTTGCTGCTGGAACTGAGTAGTGGCATCCAGTACTGTTGCTGTTCGCCATCCCCTCGCCCCGAGGCAACCGCAAAGTCGCGGGAGAAGGTCCGGAGCAGATTGGCAGACGAAGAGCGCATCGAGTGCGATGGGCTGAGGGCTGGAGCGGCAGCCGTACCCGAGTTGCCGCCTCCGCCACTGCTGCCGACTCCACCGCTCTTCAACGCGGACAGAAGGCTCGAAAAGAGAGGTTGGGAGGTCGTGGTGGGCGAAGAAGCACCAACCGCCGACGTCGGCGGTTGCATTCTCGAAAGTGGCGATTGAATGCGGAGTGGGTTGGGGTGCACTGGCGGCTGGGACGCGCCAAACTGCGCCGCAGGTGGCGAAGTGAGGAACATGGCAGTCCGCGGGCCGCCGCCACCACTGCCGGACAGCAACGACGAAGCAGCATGCAAACGTGCACTGCGATCGACCGCACGTTCGCGATCCGCCCCTGGCGAGCCACTGCCCGCCATGCCAGGCGAGTACTCGTAATCACCAAACAAGATGCGCTCGTACTCGACCAGCTGGCCCATAAAGTTAATGTTGGGCGAGATCATGGGCCTTCGTTGCTTGACAAAGGCATAGGCATCGTGCAGTCGCATGCGGTAAGTACGCATCATGTACGCAATGGTGATGGTGGCAGAGCGCGAAATGCCCGCGAGACAATGCACGAGCACGCGCTGCTTGGCTTGAATGGCTTCGTCGATAAAAGCAAAAGCCGTTTCAAACACCTTGCTTATATTCTCGTTGAACGAGTCGGCCAAGTCGCACTTTTTGCAGCGCACGTCGGACATGGTGGCTTGCTGCTCGGGCAGGAACGGACACTCACGCGCCACGTTCAGCACAAACTTGAAGTGGAACTTGTTCAACACTTGCAGGTCGGTGCCATTGTACTGGTTGCCCAAGTAGAGCAACGGAAGGATTTGCGATGGTTGGGTTGTCATAAACTGGGGCGGACAGTCGTCTTCGGCGGGGATGCACGGCGCAGAAATGGCGTGGAGCGTGCTGCTTGTCGAGCTGTTTCCAGTCGTGGGCGAAGCAGCACCACCACCGCCAGAAGCTCGGGTGGATGTTCGCTTTGTGTTTTCTGTACCCACATTGATGCGCAACCGTGGCTGCGCAACCACGTCGTTCTCATCCATTCCGTTCGATTTGGTACAGAACGCGGAAATGGTCGCGATCGACAATGGACGCAGTGGCTTTTTGCAGCGACGAGACGCCAACAGCCGACTGCACGCCGTAGGGTCATTCTGGAGAGAGGTAGACATTTCTGTCGGGAGCGAGGCCTGTCGGCCACCCGGAATAGGTGCTGGTGAACCTGTTGGTGTGACGAGCGGGGACGATGCGGGAGGTGACTCTGTGGCTGCCCGCGTCAGAGTAGCAAACCGATGGTGACTGGTGACATTCGCCAGTGATGGGAGGGGTGGGTTGGCGTCGTCTGGATTGTTCGGAGATGCGGGGCCGCTGGCTGGGACTGGCGAGAGTTGTCGAGTGCAGTTCCCAGAAACGGGTGTCACAGCTGCGCTTCGCCCTGGAAAGAGGTGGCATGCGGGACTTGGTTCGCTCCGTAGTTGTTGTTGCGCGACAGGACATTTCCAGGACGTTGACGGCGGCGCTGGGTTGAGATGATAGGCGTCCTGGCGTACCAGCGTTGAAGTCCGCCTTGAGCCGTGGAAATCATCCGTTTCAGCCGATTGGTGGGTAGACGGGCGGGACGCGTCTGACGCATCTCCTGAATCGGCGGCGTCTGGCTTGGTGGAAAGCGTAGCCTGGTCGTCGCACATGTCTGGAATGGAATGGAGAGGAGAAACGCCAGATCGACTTGGGTGACGATAGTCAATCACGCGTCGCGCATCGGCAGCGTAAACAAAACTGGTTGGCATGCTGATAGAGCTTGGAGATGTCAAAGTTGGAAGGCCAGCGGCAGCAGCAGCAGCGGCGGTGGTGGTGGTGGTGGTAGTCGAAGCGGTCATACTCGGAGTCGACGTCGTTGTCGCTGAGCGAGCTCGACGCAAAGACCCGATGAGTGCGGGCGGATGAGACACTGTGGCTGCGCGAGGTCGGGGTGACCGTGGTCGCCAAAGCTCAAACTTGACGGGAGAGGCGCGCGGTACGCTAGGAAGAGGCGAAACCGCGAGGTGGGTGGACGTTGCGACGTTTGCGTTCAAATTACCGGCGAGCGAGTTCGATGGTGGCGCCGGCCAGTCCTGCATGAACGGGGGCGAGTCGGAGCTCGATTGGCCTGCGACAGGGGTCACGGACGATGCCGGGGTTTTGGGATGAAGGAGCCGTGAGATTGAGCAAGGCGAGTGAGTGAGTGAGCGAAGGGCGAGTGCGAGAGGAGGGGCGAAGAAGGGGCGAGTCCTTTGGTTTTCGCCCCACACAGTGAAAAAAAAAAAACCGCACAGCGTCGTACTTGTAAGTTGTACTCGACGAGGAGGCGGGGACAATGCCGGCGGTCGAGAAACACAAGCGAGTGATTTTGGGGAACGAAGGAAGGAAGGAGAGTACTGCGGCGGAGGGAGAAGAGGTAACGAAAGCGAATTCAAAAAAAAAAAAAAAAAAAAAACAAAAAAAAAAAAAAAAACCACCACAACAATCGAAGCAACAAAAAAAAAAAAAGGAATGGCTTTCTCCCTACTCGCCTCGCCTCCTCGTTCTGAAAAGAACACGAAACAATGACCAAAGAAACAGTCGAGGCACCAAAGCAATGAGAGCAGCGACCAAAAGCGAATGCGCATCGAAAGTCACAGCAGAAGCCACCAAAATGACGAAAAAAGCAGCCAAGTAAAAAGAACGCCAAGTGTAAGAACGCAAAACGCATCGAAAAAAAAAAGAATCTCAAAACCTCAAAAACCATGAAACCGCTCGATGATGGAACGAAGAGTAAACAAAGAGCGAACGACGCGAGAATAAAAGAAAACGCGCGGACAGGCAGACTGCCTGCTTGTTTGGCGCAACTCGACTCAATAACGCCCCAACCCATGACAAAAAATGAGCAAAGTGGGAGGTAGTGCTGAATGAGAGAAAAGCCAAATGCAATAAAACTGCTGCTGAGGTCATACCGAACGGACGTGCCTCAAGCAGAGTCATTTCCCTGAACGTGGTGACTTGCGGGTGCGACGGAGGCCTCGACTCTGCTGGTGCACCAAAAGCGAAAGTGTTATGGCACAAAGTATCCTCTGAAACGCAGTCGGGTGCAGCGCCTCTTGGGACGAACGCAGCTGTTGTTGTGGACGAAGCGGGAGAATTTGGACGCAACGTTCCAATGGAGCTCTCAAGATCCGCGCGTCTCAACGCCTCAGTAGATCGGGTTGGCCCAAGTGGCTGTGGGGTGCAAGATGCTGTACGTTCGGTCAGGAGGGTCGGCTCAATGGGTCGCTGCTCGATGGTTGAATCCGTTGTCGCCTTTGAATGTTGTGGTCGACAATTTGAAACTGGAGCAAGTAAACTGTGTGAATCTTCCAATTCGGAACGCCCGGAAACATTCGCCTCATGTCGCAATCCTGGCAAATTGCTGAGCGCGTTGGTGTTGTCGTCATTTCGAGCCGGTACCGGAGGTTCTGCGGTCAACGACGAGGAGGACGACGGGTTGGCACATGGCGACAAGGCCCGCTGGAATGTGGAGTTGAGTATAGGCAAGGCCGATGCGGAGGTGGACAACTCTTTGCCAGCAGCGCAGCGCGAGGAGAGGGCGAAGGTATTTTTCGCCAATGTGTCACCCTGCGCGTGACGTATCTGAGGCTGGCCGCTTCCGTCGTCGCACAAAGCGGCCATCGAGCCAGGATCTCCGTCTTCTTTTTCTTCGGTCATTGGCAGTGCGGCTGGCGGGAGCTCGAGCGGGGTTGTGATGCGACGTGGGGGAGTTGCGGGCCGAAGGAGGGAAAGTTTGCGTTTCGCCACCACCGCCTTCTGCTCGTGCTGGGCGTGGTCTGCTTCCAGATCCTCTGGCTGCGCGCGGCTGTAGCTACTGGCGTCGCATGTGGCGTGCACATCCCTCTTGTCTCGCAAGACAAAAGGATTGTCGCGGGCAGTCGCACAGCACGGAGACAGCGACGTCGCGACGCTGTCGGTGACCAGGGCGAACATTGATGGCGAATCGGCCTCGGTGGTCACACCATGAATGGAAGGAGGCAGCCCGCCGAGGTGCAGTTGCTGCGGGCTGTGCATGTGCAGCACGTCCAGAGTTTTAGCGGTGGGACCAGTGTCAGAGAACAAAGCGCCTGGCGGAGCGCCGCAAGCCGGGCACAAACCCAAGAACGGCGGCTGATTGGTGCGGCTCTGGTTGCACACGAGCGAGCAGGCATGCGAGTTGCAGCACTCAGAGTTGCTCACGGTCATGGTCGCGGCGTGAGCAGAGATCAAGCTCTTGTGAAGAGAGGGCATTCGCAGCGGCGAGGGCAAGTTATCAGAACGCGTTGCGGGCGACGAAAGTGTGCTCGCCGCACACCGCACGTGCTTGGCATGTTCGAGGCGCGAGCGATGCAGGCTTTCAGGCAGCAGCCAGTCAATGTCATCGCTGGACAGGGACTGGTGGAATTGCGCGCGCGCGGCCCACCTTCGGCCGATCGCCGATGCGAGCAAGCGTGATGGCTGAGGGGAAGCGTACACGCCACCGTGAGGTGCTGCACTCATGGGCGACAAGGCATGATGGTAGAGACGATGATGATGCTGATGCTGATGATGATAATGATGATGGAACTGGTCATGTGTATCAGGAGCGGGAATGGGTACTGGCGGTGGCGCTGTGGGGAGCTCCCAAGTCGGCGTTGAACTTGGCAGCGTTGAAGTTGCGCAACCAGCACAAGTCGCCACACCTTGCGGCGGCAGCTGGTGCTCTCGAGCTGACTGACAAGACAAGGAGCAGGATCGACCCTTTCGTACATTTGAGAAACACAAAGGCTGACGATCGGGCGACGTGGAGGGTGGGAAGCAGAAGGGCTCCGTCGTGGACTTGAAATCAACGCCACAGCGATTTTGCCCGAATTCTGCATCTGAGCAGGCAATGCTAAACGCAATCACGCTTTCGACTGCCTGACGGGCAGACTCGAACTGAGGCATGTCGAGGACGCGGCGGTGGGGAGGGAGAGGGGAGGCAGAAGTTGGTTTGGGGTTTGGAGAGACGGAAAAAAAAAGGGTGGAACAATCCAACGACGGAAAAAGTGCAATACAAGACAAACAAGGAAATATAAACTGAGCAAACAAACTTGCCCATTCGAGGAAGAACAACGCCAAAATCCCCAACCGTTCGCACAGCTAAGGGATGACTCATCCATCGAAGGCTGTCGAAAACAACTGGCGCTGAATGATGGGGGTTTGGAAGGCGTTGATAAGCATTTTGGTGTGGCTCTCTTCTCCACCAACGCCGTGCGCTGCACTCACCCGACTGGCAAGTTTCAGTTCTTTAACATTCGAATTTTCTTTGATTTTGCGGTTCTTGCCGTTATTATCTTGTTCAGTCCTTTCTTGCGTTTTGCTTTGATTTTTTTTTTGTTTTTTTTTTTGGATTTTTTTCATTCGTTCGAGCGGATTCTGTAAGTTTTTTTTTTTTTTTTTTTTTTTTTTTTTTTTGTGAGTACTTTGCGCTGGATTCGCACAACCGCGATGTGTCCCCGCTTGCGTCTAAACGGAACACAGTACATCCATATACAGAGCGTTAACAGCACTGCAGGGATGCAGAGAGTGATCCAACTGTGGTCAGTTATCACCCGACTGAGGTTTTTTTTGTTTCTTCTTTTGTTCAGTTTTTGTCGTTCTTGACCACAAACCCGCCGTTGTCTCCATGACCTGTCCGCGCTCTCATCATCACGATGCGAGACTTGCTTTTTTAATGAGCTTGCTTGCCTTTGTTGGTGTCCTTGTGCCAGGCGTGGGGTTGCGGTTGATGGTGGGATTGTCGGCCGACGCGTGGTTTGTGCTCAATCGCGCCTCGAACCCAGAACAATCCACGTGTCCCTCGCTCTCTTGCTTGCCTTTACTGTTGGTTGTTGGTGCGCTTTGATTGATGCTACTGCTTCGTGCTGATGTTGCTGATGGTAACATTCCACTTCCGAGCACAGTGCAAAGGCAAACCCCTCTTTGTTTCCGTTCTAGTGGTTTCTTATCGTCGGTGATTTTTCTTAATTTGTTGAGACATGTTGCTTTGTTGCTCATCGCGCCTTTTCCCCACCATCTCTTCGAGCACACTGCGAGACGAAGCAGCCTGAAGAAGGAGAGAAGGAGAGATGAAGCCTTGTCATTTGCGTGGGATGCATGGGTTTAAAAGCGAAAGCGACGGCGACGTACGAAAACAGGAGCTTATCAAATCAATGCAAAAATGACAGTCGGCAGATAACACAAAGCAACAATACAAATACCAATTACAGCAATACAAAAAGGAAAAAAAAAACCGCCACACGAGTGCCACGCGTCGGCAGCTGCTGTGTGACACAGACAGACCACTGTGGTGATGCTGCTGTGCTTGGCTGTATTGATCTTCAACTCAGCCTCGGCTGAGTGATGGACCTGTCAAATTCGCTCACCTTCTTGTGTTCTTGGTTTCATTGGTGATCTTTTTTGTTTGTCTCAGTCGCCCGACGCTTTTACACGAGATCAAACAAACAGAATCCTCAACAACAACAACAACACTCTTCGGCTGTCCAGCTCGCTGGGGAAGCTCACAAACCAGCACTACACAAGTCTCAAGCAACGACCGTCTGAGAACAACAAGCCGACTCGACTTCTGACAAGCACAAATGTCCACTCGCTTTGCAAACGAAAACTGCAGCTTCCCGTTGACAGGGCCAAACTGCACTGAAAACTTTGCCGACTCCTTGGGAGGAGCCTATGTCGCCTGGCAAGCCACGCTTGCCACAGCATTCGTGCTCATGACCTTGATCGGACTGTTCAGCTCGTACCGCCTCATCCGCAAAAACGGCTTTTGCTTTGCACTCGAAAACGCACTGACCTACATTGCAACATTCTGCTGCTTCATCGGCGCCATTCGCCAAGTCGATGGAAATGCCTGGCGCGAAGTTTACCCGTTCTGGTTTGCCATGCTCTTGTACGACCTTGGAACGAGTGCGGCGCTCCATTGCTGGCTCATGGTCCTCAACTCTTGGGCTGTCTTTGTGTGCCGCGTTGTCGTGAGTTCCCAGTCAAAGCTGACCAAGATTGTCAGGCACGTCTACGTGGCCAGCGTTGTGTTCGCATGGGTGTCGCAACCGTTCGCGACCTTGATTGAGTTTGTCATTCATCCCATTTGGATTGGAAAGATGACCCACTACGGCCTGAGCCTCGTGCTGTTTGCAGTCTGGGCCGGAGGTGGCATCTACTTTGCGACAATCATCCATCGCGTGCTCGTCGAGGCTCAGCGCCGATACGGCGATATTTCAACTGTCGGCTCCCAGACTGGCAATCATGCGGCGTCGACCGACGCCGAGATGACTGCCACCGGCAAGAGCGGCACCGCCACCGGCAAGAGCGGCACCGCCACAGGCACCGGCACCGGCAATGGTCACCAGGACACCGGAGCCGACTATTCGCGCATCGCCAGCAAGCGCAGGCGACTTGCTGTGCGCCGCATCCAGCGCATGAACATTGTGATTGTCATTCTCGACATTGTGGCTCTCGCGATAACGGGATACAGCATTCTCAACTGGCTTTCCAACAAGTGGAGCGCAACACCGCCAAACGTCATTCCGCTGCCAACGGCTGGCGGGCTTCTCCTCTACCACCTTTTCGACATTCTCCACTTGTTGGTGAGTGCCGCAACGCTATGGTTTTATCGTGTGACGCGTTCACAGGGTGCGCATGGTTCTGCTGGTCATGGTCATGCCAGCACAACCGGCCCAGACGGCGCCACGCCCCAGAATCGTGACCCCGAAAGTCTCGAGGAGTCCATTGGCGAGGAGGAAGTTTCCGAATCCAGCAGTCGCACACCCAGCAATGGAAGGTCGCGTCGCGGCAGCACGCAGCCGCAGCTTCCGATGTCGATGCGGCAAAGCCAGTCCTCCAGCGGCTTTGTTGGAGGCGACAGTATTGCTTGGACAGCTCCCGCAAGTTCCAAGTAAATGTGATTTACGGGTGGGGGAAAAGTCTCTTGGTTTCGCTGACAACCACAGGGAAACGCATTGCGTTGAGATTTTGCTTTTGCTTTTGCTTTTGTTTTTTGTTTGTACATGCCATCGCTTTTGTTCGATTGATTGTTTAAAGTACACGTATTATATTATCCTATGCTGCGTCTCTGGAAGCAAGTTGCTTCTGTAGTGCTCCCCAGACAACCACTTCCCCTTTCGTTGTTCAACCGTTTTTACCCGTTTTTATTATTTGTTGTGTAAGTCGGTTTTGTTTGTTCTGTCGGCTCTCTGTTCCCATTGCGAGCGGATTGCTGGATTGGCAACAACCGCAATGCGACCCACCTTGTGCCAGAGTGGAACGCAGCACAGCCACACGCAGAGCCTCATGCGGCATTGCAGAGACAAGCGATGCCAGAGACTGATCCCAACACTGCTCGGTTGTGCCGATTGTTTTTTTTTTTTTTTTTTTTTTTTTTCGTTTTTTTGTTTGTGTGTTTTGTTGTGTCTCAAACTGCCCGCCCGACCTCATCGTCGCCGTACGAGACTTCCCCCCTTCTCATGATCGCATTTGCTTGCTGGGTTTCGCTGTGTGCCACGCGTGGGGTGCGCTGGCGAGTGTGGTTGTCGGACGAGTCATTGCTGCCCGTCGCGCCACGAAAACCCGCGCGACAAAACAAAACTATTCTCCGCTCGTCCTCTCGCTGCTGCTGCTTTGCTGATGGTGCTGAATGCATGTTGATAGCAACGAGCATTACACGCCCGAACACAGTTGCAAGCCAAAGCCCCCCCCCCACTCCTCCTGGCGTTGGACGGCCACTGTTCAGAAGAGCGGTTGCTCGTTTTGTCCTTTGTTGTTGCTGGTTGTGTCCGATCATTGCGATTCGGCCACAGCGCGTGCGCAACCAGGGAGAAGAGCGGGGATGAAGGCGTGCTCATGCATCAGTCGAAAAGTCAAGAGGACAAAAGTCGACAAAGTCGAAAATCACAATCCACTCCAAAAAAAAAAAAAAAAAAAAAAAAAAAAAAAGAAGAGGGAAAAAACTGCGCCACGCCTCTGCTTTCGCCGCTTCCGACACTTCCGATAGAGCGACACACACACGCGACGGTGGGCAACTGTTGTCATGCAATTACGATTGAGATTGCTGTTTGTGCTGATCTCCACCTCAGCGTTGGGCTGCGGCACATGTCGATTTGTTTTGTCTCATTGTGCTTTGTTGTTTGTGGCGCGACTCAACTCCCACATTGTTGTTTTTTTGTTTCTCTGTGGTTTTCGGTCGCTTTGTTTGCTGCAGTGCCACACGACACAAATATTTCCCGCAACAACAACAACCACAACAACAACAACAACAATAACAACAACAACAACAATAACGCTTGTTTCTAGCTCAAGAACAAACCACTGCACTCGACAAGAAGGCCAAACTCACACACACACAAGCACAATGTCCGATCACCCGCCAAACGAAAACTGCAGCTTCCCGATGACAGGGCCAAACTGCACAGAAACGTTTGCAGACTCGTTGGGAGGGTCGTTTGTCGCGGTGCAGGCCACGCTGGCAACCGTGTTTGTGCTCATGACCGTGATCGGTCTGATCGGCTCCTACCGACTGACCAAAAAAACTGGCTTTTGCCTCGCGATTGAAAACGCAATGACATACTGCGCGACATTCTGCTGTCTCATCGGCGCCATTCGCCAAGTCGATGCCAACGGCTGGCGCGACGTCTACCCGCTCTGGGTTGCAATGCTCCTGTACGACCTCGGAACGAGCGCGGCGCTCAACTGCTGGCTGCTGGTCGTCCACTCTTGGGCCGTTTTCGTCTGCCGTGCTGTCGTGAGTCGCCGATCAAAGCTGGCCAGGATTGTCAAGCATGTCTACGTGGCCAGCGTCGTGTACGCATGGGTGTCGCAACCGTTCGCGACCATGATTGAGTTTGTGATTGAGCCCATCTGGATTGGAAAGGTGACCCACTATGGCCTGAGTCTAGTGCTGTTTGCAGTCTGGGTCGGAGGTGGCTCCTACTTTGCGACCATCATCCATCGCGTGCTTGTTGAAGCCCAGCGCCGATACGGCGACATTTCGACTGCCGGCTCCAATACTGCCAATCATGCGCCGTCAACCGATGCCAAGTCGACCACCAATGCCACCTCTGTCGTCGCCGGCAGCACGGAAGGTGGCACGACGACGATGACGACGGCTACGGGCAAGAGCGGCACCACGCACCAGGAGACAGGAACCGACTATTCGCGCGTGGCCAGCAAGCGCAGGCGGCTTGCTGTGCGTCGCATCCAGCGCATGAACATTCTTGTCATCATCCTTGAGATTATTGCTCTCCTGATGACGGCGTACAGTATTTTCAACTGGCTCTCGAACAAGTGGAGCGTGGATCCGCCGAACGTCATTCCGCTGCCAACGGCTGGAGATATTCTCGTCGAGCACCTTTTCGACATTCTCCATCTGCTGGTGTGCGCCGCAGTATTCTGGTTTTACCGAGTGACGCGTTCGAAGGGTGATCATGGTGCTTCGACGGCAGCTGGTCCCGGACACGCCAGCGCAACCAACCCAAGCGGCGCCACCCACCAGACTCGCGACCCCGAGAGCCTCGAGGACTCTATTGGCGAGGAGGAAGTTTCCGAATCCACCGGCCGATCGCACAACAATCGCACGTCGCGGCGCGGCAGCACACAGCACGCCCTTACGACTCGGCAAAGCCAGTCCTCCATGGGCTTTGTTGGAGGCGACAGTGTTGCTTGGGCGGCCCCTCCAAGTTCCAAGTAGTTGTGTGTGTGTGTGTGTGTGTGTGTGTGTGTGTGTGTGTGTGTGTGTATGTATGTGTGTGTTACATGTAGTGGGTTGTCTCTTGAAGTCGTTCTGACCAGAATGAACGAATGCATGCTGTTGCTCTTGTGAAATTGTTGCTTTAACTAATGTACGTTATACTGGGTTGCGGCTACTGGGTTGCGGCTCTCCAAAGCAAGTTGTACTATATTGTAGATCCACTCTTGGTGGCAATGTGACATTCAAGAATGACTTTACGACAACGATTGCCCCAGCGCATCGAGGGGTAGAGTATCGGAGATCTGTCCTTTACAACTTTTGCTTGCATTTAGGTTTTGCTGACAGCCACGAAGCATGATCTCGTCCAACTTTTTACAACATATCGATATCAATGCACAGGGCAAACTGCTGAGCTGCGTCAACCTCAGCTGGCCGTGTCTCGAGCACACGGCCATCCACGCCAAGGTGTGTCCGGCGCGGAAACGTCGGGTAAATGTCACTGGGCACCACAAAATAGAGCACCGCGGGACCCGCTTGTTGCGGCATGCGAGAGATTGCCAGCCGCAAGCCTTCCGATTTGACGGGGTGCGATCGGCTGACAGTCATCTGCAGAAAGACATTCGGAGAAATAATGGCGTCGACAGCTGCCAAATTACGATTGGTCGGACTGTAGTAGCGGTCGGGGATGCTAAGATCAATCTCAGTCAGCTGACGGAAATTGATGCAAGTGAGCGGCCGCAACTGCAACTCGTCACCGACGCCTGTTTCAAGATGACGTCTAGGGAATGTGCCACCTGTCTGAAGACAATTGGACGCGTACTCCTCAAAAAGCTGCCCACGGAGCGATGCGTGCTCTGGGTTGTCCGCCGCAGCGCTGAGAAAACGCCGAAGTCGATCTCTCTCCTCGGTCCGGAACATTTGAAAGACTCGCTCGCTAACCCATTTGGAGGCAAACCTCAGGCGGTCACGCGAATAGGGTAGAATACGCCTGCCGCACTCATCAACAGGCCGGTTGGGATCAAGGGGCAGTACCTCGATATGGAGCACGCGATGCGAGATGTCTTGCTCACCTGCCAGTTCGCCGACAGAGTTGATGACGTTGTGAAGGACGCATTTAGTGATGGCGGCCCGGAGAGCTTGAACATCGGCAGCCGCTAATGGCAGTACCTCTCGCGCGATGCCACCCCAGCACAAAAACGCACTTCTGGCGGCCTGCAAGTACGCGTCGGCCTCCCGTGTAGCCATGCTTGTTGCAGACCGTTGCAAGTAAGCCTCGATCTCGAGTTCTGACCACACCGGCATCAACAGCAAGCGACCGTGCGCCTTTCGAAGCTCCCTGTAAATTGGGCGACGCCGGGATGTGACGAGCAGAACTTTAGCGGAGCCGTAGCCACTTGGGGAGTGGGCATCTGCAATGAACCAGACTTGTTCGTTGCGGAGAGTATCCTCAAAACCATGGTGGCTGTAAGAAGCAGACCCATCGGCACGCAAAAGATAGCGCGTCGCTCGGCGCTTTCCCGCAGCAGGCTCATAGACAAACGGCAACGAAACATTGTTTTCCCTGTTCTGCCGAAAGATGCGGTACAAAAAGTACGCCGAGAAGGCTGTCTTGCCGATGCCAGGGTTGCCAGTGACAATCCAGTTCGTCCAAAGCGTGTTTGCAGCGTCGGTGATCACGTCGAAGAGTCCTTCGTAGCTCTCGCGAACCATGAGAACTGAACCCAAATAAGGATTGCCCAGCCAGAACACGTTTGCAGGAAGAACTAGGAACAGTACGCTGACACTCTCGACTCGGCGTCGCTCCTCGTTCACCTCGCCACGATGAAGCGCGCGCCAAGCAAAAGTTGAGTCGTGGGGGCAATAGTTGCCAGCCAGTTCTGCGCTTGACTCGCATACTGCTGTGCCTCTGCGATATTTCCTGCGTTGCGTGTAGCCGTTGCAAGGTCCTCGTAGTGTCGCAGACGGTCTTGGCTGTGCGCCAGTGCTGCGTTCAATCGAGCAATCTCGGCCTCCAGCCTTTCTCGTCCGACCGCAGCCGGCGGCAGTTGCTCCACGCGAGGGCGCTGGACTTCGCTCGGAGAACGGTCTGCAGCGAAGGGCGAGAGCGGTCGCCGAACAGAAAACTCTTGGCGGTCTTGGCTGTACGACATTCGACAAGAAAGGAAAACAAACAAAACCGAAGACTGTTCATCCTAGTTCGGGCTTTGCATTTTGAACAAGCCACGCACTGTTTTCTCTCAGCACGGAAACCTTTCACGAGATAAAAAACAACGCAGGAGAAGTGGGCGTTGCGTGACATCAAAAGCTGCCAAGTGGCGTGACGAGCTCAAACCTGCTGAAATCGCGCTCCCCAACGATGAGCCCAGTCATGGCGGCTCGACTGCGCTTGATGATACACACGCATTGGTCCCGTCGGAGCCCTCACGAGCGCCGTGGGTGCTTGGCCAAGGGTTTGCCCAGCTCGAGTACGTGCCTCCGCTCGAGTTCCAAACAATGCTCAACGCGTCATTGATTCATGATCGGTCAGAGTGATGCCGGTCGGGTGCGGCATCGTTGCAGTGCATGGCACTCTACAATCTGATCCAGATCAAGCTGTTCACAGCACGCAGCTCCCATGCACGCAGCAAGACGCGACATCCCTTTTGAAGGAATTGCAATCTGAGCACGACGGTTCTCAGCCAAACAAGTAGATCTATCTTGCTCGGACTGCTCAGTTGCTGTGCGATTTCGTGGTGGATCGATTGCTATCGACTCTGTGTATTCTAGCTGGTCGTTCTCAGTACGGGTTTGTTGGTCTTCCGGTCGAGGTGAAGGTACGCCGATTGCTTCCAAAGCAAGTTGTTTGTGAGTTGATGCAGCTCAGTCGCTCTGCTGTGTCGACAGTGCCGCATTCTACGCTTCTTGGACAAGAAGTCGCTCAGGGTTTTGCGGCTGGTCAACCGCGAGATGCGCAGCATTTGTGACGATGAGCTCGCTCTGAGAATCCAATCACCCGAGCTCGAACCACCCAGCGCTGAGCCAGCTCAACCCGTCCAATCGCGACCAATACCAAGGTTCGTGCCTCAGCGCTCACGAGAGGGCTCTCCACTACCACTCTTCCCCGCCAATCCGTGGTTTCCTCGCTAGAGGGGGGTCGCCTGAATATGAACAAAATAAAAGTTGCTGGCTATTCGAGTGCCGCCCGAGTTTTTGACATTAAAGTACTCGACACACTCTTTTAATATATAGGTGCGACGGAGAGGTCGGCGGCGGGCGATGGGTTGGTAGGGTATCGCGTGGCAGTTTCGCTCATTTTGCTGGACGACCATTACGCTTGTTCATATTCAGGCGGACGGCCTCTCTGGTCGCGACCATCCTCATCCAGGCGGACCATCTCTGACCGGTGCCTATGTTATCGAGTTAGATCTTCCTATTTCTCGCAAGAAGCGGGACAGAATCGCGCAGGGGTGGCCGCAGGGCCCGATGGAGGCTCAACCCAGCCAAACAGCCATACGGCGGCACTTTGGATAGGCGAGTCCGAAGTCCCTTCCGTTATGCAGAAATTGATGTATGCAACATGTATGTTTATTGGATGAACAGGTGTTGGGACGGGAACATCGCGGGGACAAAGCCAAGGTGATTTGGCCGGTGCGACAGATCCACCAGCGCGGGAGGCGCCTGCACAGCCTGATCGGGACTATCGAGGCGCGCTCGTTGCGAAATACGACCGGGTGCATCATCATCATGATCGGGTGCCTGCTCGCGGGCTCGGCGCATTGGACGCAGGCGAACATTTTCCGCCATATTCCGCTTTTCATGTAGCCGTTTGGCGAGACTTCAAATACAGCCTTATTGTCACCCACATCTGCTGTCGCGCTGCGTATCTTGTTGTTTTTCGAGAAGATGATCATAGGCAAGGGCGGGGATGAGCCATCAGCGCAGATGGTGAAAACGCCCGTGATGTGCGCCCCGAGTGAATGCTGGTGCCCCCCTTGAACGACCGCAGAACGCGTGTCTGACGAGGGAGTGCAAATGACACGACCCGCAAAAAAACGGGTCGTGATTTCTGTCTCGTCCATGTTGGAAATCCGACCGGGCTCCTCCACAAGAAGCGGATGCTCATCGAACAGCTGTTTCAAAAGTCCGGGGAGGCAATCGAGTGTTTCAGCTTGTAAAGCGGCAATCCTGGTGAGCTCCAGCGTTCGACCCTTGCGGATGGCTAGGCGCCCGCGAGCATCGCGCAGAAAGGCATTCCACCATTCATGGCTCGGCAGACTGCCGGCGAACTGGCGACGCGGGGCGCCCGACATGCGCGGGAGGCGTGAGAGTTTCACAAGATAAGCGCCCGCCTGCTTCTGGTTGAGACACTGCCCAGCCCGGGCAAACCCCTCCAGCAGCCGGATACAGTACTCCAGTTCATCTTCAGTGAAAATGCTCTGTCCTCCGCACGATGGGCTCTCCTTGACGAGCTGGAGCACCTGATCGAGCGGGCTGGAACGAATCCACTCGGCTGAATCCGTGTGTTTCGTTTTCCAACCATGAACTGTGGTGTGACCGCACTGATAGCCCTGTTCCGCCAGCCGCGCGGCTATGGCCCGTGTTGTCCAGCCTGTAGGGCGATAGATTTCGCCCCCTTGAAGGGTCACAGAGTCTTGGTAGACAAGCTTGAGAGCGACTGCGACGGCAACATTGTGCTTTTCTCCTTCGGGCGCAGCCTTCACTGCCTGCAGCCACGCGAGGACACCGAGTTGCCGCCTCGGATGGCACCCGCCATCGATAAAAAAGAATGACTTTATTATAAATGCAAACTGGCCAGCGCTGAGCCAGCTCAACCCGTCCAATCGCGACCAATACCAAGGTTCGTGCCTCAGCGCTCACGAGAGGGCTCTCCACTACCACTCTTCCCCGCCAATCCGTGGTTTCCTCGCTACGACATTGAGCCATTCCGACGTCCGCGCTTCATGTGGTCTCCCTTTCATTCTCACGACGGCGATTACGACGATTCCTTCACCATCTGATATTTCTGAGCATGTCTTCATTTTGTCAACACTGCTTTTCTGTACAATAACAACGCAACCAAATCGATGAACAAATTTTCTCAATGAAATTTCCATTCAATCTTTTTTTTTTTTTGTTTTTTTTTTTGTTCTCTTTCAGTGTGTTTCCATTGCATTTTCACTCATGCAGGCGTCGACTGCTGGCGGGATGTCCGTCCCTCCTTCTCCACAGCAGCAGCAGCAGCAGCAGCAGTTGAATCTATCTCAGCTGCGTTTCCCACTCGCGCCCGAGGCAGTCGCGCAACTCACTCAGGTTTGGTTCTCCGAAGCATTAGCACTGACACGTCTCCTCACCACTTTCGCTTGTATCCCCCCTTCCAAAATCCACGCTTCACCAAACTTCTTTGCTGCTCTTGCTTCACAACAAAACTCCATCGCATTTCGGTTTCGTTTGCTTTCGTCGTTTTGATCACCTTCGACGTCGAAACTGAAAATTTGCCGCCAAAATGCGAGATCTCTTTTTTTTCGTTTTTTTTGGCGCCAACGCTTTCAACGCTTTCAACGCTTTTCCACCTATCGACTTGGATCGACTTGTTGGTTGACCGTGTCTCCAATGCGAGTGTGGTGCGGGGCGAGCGAAGCGCAATGCAAAAGTCCTGTTTGGAACTCACTTTGTGTTTTTTGACTTGATTTTTGGACAGATCCTTCGCCTCAACCCACAGGCGCCTATCGCCGAGCAGCTGACGCGCATCCTGGCGCAGCATCAGATTGTGGTGCAGCAGCTGCAGCAGCAGGCGGCGTCGAGCGGGGCAGTCGCAACGTCGCCTGCTCTGCCAAAAACGCCGCTGAGCCGACACGCTCCTCCAGGGTCTGCCAGCATCTCTGGCGGCAGCAGCGCTGCTAGTGTTGGTGCTGGTGCTGGTGGTGCTGCTGCAATGATGCCGCCGCCTCCGGCTGGGCCACAGACACCCGCGCTGACATTCCCGTCGCTGCATGGCGCGCTCGCATCGCAGCAGCTCACGCCAGAGCAACAGGCGCAGATGCGCGCCCAGCTGCAACTCTTCCAAGCCCTTTCTCGACAGCGGATGGCTGCTCCTCAGCTGTCTGCAGCGGCCATTCAACAGCAACAGCAGCAACAACAGCAGCAGACGCAGACGCAGCAACGAACGTTGGAGATGCCGCCGCGCCCGCACGGCCAGGCGCTGCTCAGCTCTGCATCGCTCCGGCCGCTGGGACTGGATCCTGTCGAGATGCAAGTCCGCCGTGAGCATCACATTGCCACGTCGATCGCAGAGCGCATTCGCGAGCTGAGTGCCATCCCGGTCACGGCCCCGAAGGACGTGCGGATCCGAGCGGCGATTGAGCTCAAGTCGCTCCAGCTGGTCGGCCTGCAACGCTCGCTGCGCCAGCAAATCACTCGGACCATGCAGGTGGACACGACGCTGGAGACGGCACTCGATCGTGCGGCGTACAAGCGGGCCAAGAAGCTTGCCGTCCGCGAGCCCAAAAAGACCGAGCTGCTCGAAAAGCAGCAGCGCGCGGAAACAGAGCGGCGACGCCACGCCAAGCACTTTGAGCGCCTCAACGCCATCCTGTCGCACGCCCAGCGCTTCCGCGACTTTCACGAGGCCGTGCACGCCAAAGTGCAGCGCATCGGCCGTGACCTCCAGTTGCACAACGAGCGTCTCGAAAAGCAGCGCAAAGCCGAGTCCGAGCGCCTTGAAAAGGAACGCATGCGTCGCTTGATGGAGGAGGACGAAGAAGGCTACCGCAAGCTCATCGACTCTGAGAAGGACAAGCGTCTGTCCTACCTGCTCAACCAAACCGACGAGTACATTGAAAAGCTGGGCGCGCTCGTCCAGCAGCACCAGCAGAACGAACGCACCCGAGGGCAGACAAAGAAGAAGCGCAGGCGGAGGAAGCCAAAGCAGCCGACTGCTGCTGCTGCTGCTGCTACTTCCACCGAGCCCACACCCATGGCGACCGATGCAACTGCTGCAGCTTCGTCCGACACTGCTGCTGCTGCTGCCGAAGTGCAGCCCACTGCGATGGAGGTGGATGCAACGCCAGCTGCCAGCACCAACGCGGCGGCCGCAACAAAACCAGACGAAGACGACGAGTACACGAGTGGCTCTGGAGAAGACGACGACGACGACGACGACGACGCCAACTCGGACGACGAAGTGAACGCGTACGCGGCAGAGCACCAGGGCGACAAGTCGAGCTTCTCTCTTGCGCACAACATCCGCGAGCCCATCACCGAGCAGCCGACCATGCTGGAGTTTGGCAAGCTGAAAGAGTACCAGCTCAAGGGCCTCGAGTGGCTCGTCTCGCTGTATAACAACAACCTGAACGGCATCCTGGCCGACGAGATGGGCCTTGGCAAGACCATTCAGACCATTTCGCTGATTGCCTACTTGATTGAAAAGAAGCAAATGATGGGTCCGTATCTGGTTGTCGTCCCGCTCTCCGTCTTGTCCAACTGGCAGCTGGAATTCGAGCGCTGGGCGCCGTCCATCGTCAAGCACGTGTACAAGGGCAGCCCGGCCGCGCGCCGTGCGCTCCACCCCATCATTCGCGGCGGCAAGTTCAACGTGCTGCTGACCACCTACGACTATATCGTGCGTGACAAGAATGTGCTCAGCCGTGTCGCGTGGAAGTATGTGATTGTCGACGAGGGCCACCGCGTGAAAAACCACAGCGGCAAGTTGAACACGGTGCTGACCCAGTACTTCCCCGCTCCCAACCGACTCTTGCTCTCCGGCACCCCGCTGCAAAACAACCTGCCCGAGATGTGGGCGCTGCTCAACTTTTTGCTGCCCACCATTTTCAACTCGGTGGACAACTTTGAGCAGTGGTTTAACGCGCCCTTTGCCAACACGACCGAAAAGGTCGAGCTGTCGGGCGAAGAGAGCATTCTCATTATTCGTCGATTGCACAAAATCCTGCGCCCCTTCCTCCTGCGCCGTCTCAAGCGCGAGGTCGAGTCGCAGCTGCCCGACAAGGTCGAGTACGTGGTCAAGTGCGGCATGAGCCAGCTGCAAAAGACAATGTACTCGTTCGTCAAGCGCAAGGGCGTGCTGCTCACGAGCGCGCAAGACACCGACCCCAGCGCGGCCAAGAAGCTGCAGCAAAAGCCGACGGGCGTGCGAGTGCTGGCCCACACGCTTATGCAGCTGCGAAAGATTTGCAACCACCCCTTCCTGTTCGAAACGCTTGAGCGCGGCGTGAGCAGGCACATGGGTTTTGGCGGCGCGATTATTACCGGATCGCTTGTGGTTCGCGCAAGTGGCAAGTTTGAAATGTTTGACCGCTTGCTGACAAAGCTGCACCGCACCGGGCACCGTGTTCTCTTGTTCAGCCAAATGACCCAGTGTCTGACGATTCTCGAGGATTACTGCAACTACAACAACATCCTGTACCTTCGCTTGGACGGCAACACCAAGCCCGACGAGCGCGCAGAACTCTTGACCAAGTTCAACGCGCCCAACTCTCCGTACAACCTGTTTTTGCTGTCGACACGCGCGGGTGGCCTGGGTCTCAACCTGCAGACCGCCGACACTGTCGTCATTTTCGACTCTGACTGGAATCCCCACCAAGATTTGCAAGCGCAAGACCGCGCACACCGCATCGGCCAGAAAAACGAGGTGCGTGTCATTCGCTTTGTCACGGCAGACTCTGTGGAAGAGCGCATGCTTGCTGCAGCGCAGTTCAAGCTGGACATGGACAAGAAGGTCATCCAAGCGGGCAAGTTTGATCAAAAGTCGACCTCGTCCGAGCGTCGGCACCTGCTCGAGCAGCTGATGGACGACAGCAAGGAGGACGACGAGGAAGAGGCCAAGGACGACGAAAGCTCCGTCCACGATGACGATACCCTCAACCAGATGCTCGCGCGCAGTGAGGACGAGCTGCGCATCTTCCAACAGCTCGACAAGGAGCGCCAGCAAGCTCCCGCTTTTGACTATCCCAATGGCATCCACACGACCTCCCGGTTGATGGAAGAAAACGAGTTGCCCGATTGGCTTCTCGTCGACGATGAGGAAATTGACCGCCTCGTCAACGACGCACCAGCCGTCGAGTACGGACGCGGCCAACGCGAGCACAAGGATGTCTTGTATGATGATGGGTTGACGGAAGGCGAATTTTTGGATGTAAGATGGTCGGCCGAATGCAAGCAAAGCTGCGGATGTATCGCAGGTTCTTTGTGTGTATGTTGGCTCACCTGCATTTTCTTATTTGTTCATTTTTTTGTTTTCTTGTTCCTAGCTCGTCGAGGACGGACAGTTGGAGGACGAGTTGAAGGACCGAGTCACCAAGAAACGGCGATTGGAAGACAGCGCGGCTGCCAGTGATGAAGACGGAAGCACTCCGGCCCGTCGCAACCGCGTTCCCAGTGCTCGCGTAAGGGGTTTGTGAAAAGCGGGGGGGGAGGGGAAGGGGCGGGCGTGTTGCATGAATGAATGTGGTGAGAAGTGAAATTCATTGTGGTTTTTTTCTTCTTCTTTTTCTGTTCTGGTGGCGCTGCAGAGTGGCGGGGCAACACCAACCGCCGCGGCAGATATGCCAAACAAGCGCGTTCGAACCGAGCCGGTGAACATCAACCCAAAGTTTGTGGCGCAACTGCGGCGCCTGTTGGATGCCATGCTCGAAGAAAAGGACGAGTAAGCCCTGCTTGATGTTTTTGTCCGATCTGTCGTCGTCGTGGAGTCTCTGTATATCTGACCTATCTCTCGCGTGATGGCAGAATGGGACGCCCACTTGCCGATCCGTTCGTTCGACTTCCGACTCGCCGCGAACTTCCCAGCTACTATGCCCTTATCAAAGAGCCGATGGACTTTAACAAGATTCAGGTGCGGAATTGATGTTCAGTTGTTGGCTGATGACGAGTGCATCGAATGTTCACGCCCATTTGTGTTTCGACACCGAACAGAAACGACTCGATCAAGGCGGGTACAAGTCGATCGATGACCTCACCAAAGACGTTTCCTTGATGATCTCCAATGCCCAGCATTATAACATTGACACGTCGCAGATCTTTTTGGATTCCCAAGTGCTTTTTGTGAGTATCCGAACGAGCGGTCTAGCGGGTTGGTTGCTTTTTCCTTGTTGTGCGTTTCGTGCTTGTCCTGACTGTGCTGGTTGTATCACACAGAATGTGTACACTAAGGCAAAAGCACATCTGGAAGGCGAGCCAATCGAACCGTATCAACTGGACGCGCCCGCGCCAACACCATCCACATCAACTCCGACCTCCTCGACAAGACGCAAGGCACGCTACGATGAGGACGATGACGACGACGATGATGATGATGCCGAAGGCGACTCGCGATTTGAGAGCGAGAACTCGGAGGATGACGAATACACTGTGAGTTTTTGACGGAAGCGGGGTGGGCGGTGGAGTGAGATTTTCGTGCTGACTTTGAATTTCTCGACTTGCTTCAAACCCAGAAAACCCGTGCCACTCCCGGAAGGCGAGGACGACCTCGTAAATCGTGAAAGTTTTGTTTTCGTTTTCCATTGTGTTCTTTTTCCCCCGTCATACAAGTTTTTCATGTTGATTTTTTTTCTTGCTTTTTGCAGTTCTGCGCTTCAGTGGGGTTGGTTTATTAAACCGCAGAGAAAAGCTTGCATCGCATTTGTGCAGCTGATCGATCAAACAAACAAACAAAACAAGGCAAAGCTGTTTAGATTGAAGTGTAGCCGTTTTCGTTCGCGGCGGCGCCAAGAAGGAAGAGAATCTGTCAAAGCAATGCGATGAGAAACGTGGCAACACCGCCCCGCCGTCTCTTCAACAAGAGGACACGCACAACCCGATCAAACTCTGCGTACCTGAGAAGCAATGATCAGAATGAGACCACCGAACTGGGTCTTGACGTTGCCGCAATCGCCGTCGAGGCCAGTCATCTTGAGCTGGAGTTCAGGGTACTCGTTGCAGTAAGTGAGCAGATAGGTGGTGAGTTGGTTGGTGGCGAGGTAGACGAACGTGACGGCAATCAGAATGGTGTGAACGTTGTTGAGAATCGGCCAGTGCTTGAACAGGGCAATGAGCGAGACCAGGTGGACGGCGTAGATGGCAGCGGGACCCCAGGCCAGCTGCTTGTACGGCAAGCCAGCCTTCATTGCGGCCGAGTCGCTGTTGACCAGGCCGGCATAGCCGACAATAGCAGCAATGCCGCCAATCTGAGCGAAGATTGATTTCCAGATTAGTGCAATTCACAGTTTGCGATTGATGACCTCAAAACACAAAATGTTCCGAGTTTCGGAAGTCGAAAACACAATAAAATCAAAAAACCAAGCCATAAAAACAAAAAAAGTTAAAAGTTAAAAGTTTTTCAGAAAAGCCGATCAAAAAGTCGAAAAAACGATCCATCAAAAAAAAAAAAAAATAAAAAAAAATAAAAAAAAATAAAAAAAAAGTTTTTTGCTAATTTTTACTATTTTTTTTTTTTTTTTTTTTTTGGCTTTTCGTTGCTTTTCGTTGCTTTTTGTGCTGCTCCATTTTTCATGATGTGATGGTTGCAGATTTGAGAATGCATGTCCGAGCAACAAAGTGAAAGCGCTTCATGATGGAGAGAACTGAGGGGTGAGACTCGTTTTGCCTGGTGTGCTCTGTGGATTGATTCCAAAGCAAAATACCATCAAGCAGCTGACACTGACCACCGACATATGTTCAGTCACTCACTCACTCACTCACTGTAGAAGTGGGAAACGAACAGAGAAAGCGTGGACTTTTCATCTCACATCCATTCAACAAACACTGATCGCACTGGAGGAAGAGGGAAGAGGAAGAGGGAAGATGGAGAGAAACAAAGAGCCGTTGGTTGAAAAGACTGTGCAAGCCGATCAAGAGCCACACACACACACACACACACGCTCAAGGCCACAAGGCAGGGAAGTTGGGGGTGTGCAAGTGTGTAGGAAACAGCATGGGAACGAGCGAAGGAGCGAAAAAGGAAGCGGGGATTGTGAAAGGGGTCTTGCATACAAGGCCAATGACAAAGGCAGCAACGCGAAGGTTGCGCGCAGTCTTGTTGAATCCAGAGCCCATAGTGAACGAATGTGGAAAATAGACGAGTGAAGTTTACTACTACTACTAAAGAATAGAAAAAAAAAAAAAGCCAAGTGTGTGTGTGTGTGTGCGTGTGTGTGTGTGGCTGCTTTTTCGAATTTGAAAAGTCACAAGAAACAGCCAACAACAACATCAACAACAACAACAACAAACACAGACGATCAAAATACAACAACACAGAATAAAACAAAAAAACAAGCAGTCTGTGCAACTTTTTTTTATGGCTTAGTGGCGAGTGACGCGACCCAGCTCGACACGGACGTCGGTGCCAATCAGCTCGGCTTGGCCGGCAGCAACACGATCCACGCAGTTGCAGGTGGCGCCGCACGAGGCATGGGCCTCCTGGGTGGACTGGCCGTTGCGCACAGCGTTGCCGACACATGCCACAAAGCAGTACTCCTCGCAGGCGTCCGAGCGCATGGGAGACGGCGCGTAGCCAAAGTTGTGCGCGTGATCGGCAACCTCGGTGGCGTTGCCCTTAATCATCCAGAGCTCGTTCACGCCTTGGTCGCCCTCGTTCAGCTTCTGTGCCCAGTACAGATGCGTGTGGTTGTACGCAATCAAGTGCGCATAGCCGTACGACGCCGAGCGGAAGTTGGACCAGGGGCCGTAGTAAATCTTGTCATAGTAGTCAAGGTCTTCCTTGCAGCCGGCCGAGCCTGCAACAATGTTGACGGTGTAGAGCGGGTTGACATAGACGTTGGGGTTGGGGAAGAGCTGGTACATGCTGTGGCTGACGGGCCAGGTGAGCTCGTACGAGTGCTCGTGCGCGCCAATGAACATGTCGACCTTGTACTGGGCAAACAGGTTGTCAAGCGAGTACGGGCCGTCGCGCATCACCAGGACATCCTTGGTGCAGTCCGGCACGTCGTCCACGTTCGAGCAATAGATTGGGCGGTGGGCAACCGCGATAATCCACGGCTGTTTGTCGCGATTCGCCACAGCCTGCGCAAGATCCTTTTGCAGCCATGCGTACTGCTCGGCAATCACAGCAGTGTCGTCGCTGTAGTAGAGCTCTGACGAGAAGATGGTGAAATGGACGTAGTTGACGTTGAACGAGTAGTACAGGTTGTTGTTGGTGCCAGATTGGGAGTAGCGGCCGACGGCGGCAAAGCGGTTTTGGTACTGGGAGAAGTTTCGACCGTCGTACTCGTGGTTTCTGCGAGGCGGGGGGGGGAGGCGAAGAAACAGTCAAATAACCAAGCACGAGATTGGAGAAATGTAAGTTGTTTGCAATTCCCACAACCCCATTTCTGCTCTCTCTCTCTCTCTCGACAACAAACACACAAACAAACACAAAATCCTCACCCGACGCAGACCATGTACGGCACGTAGGCAGCAACAGGCTGAATCATGTTCATGAACTCGTCGCCGACAATGCCATCGTGGTCGTGCAGGTCGTAGGCGAAATCGCCAGTGTGCAGAATGAGCGACGAAAAGCCGCCTGCGAGTTCCGACTTGAGCTTGGAGATGGTGCGGTCCGAGTTGGTGCTGCCCATATCGCCGTAGACGATAATGTCGACGGGCGTGTTGGGGACGTCGATCTTGGTGTCAAAGTCGTACACGGCCGACCAGCCCGAGACAGCGTTGCCAACGCGGTAGTAGTAGCGGGTGTTCACGGTCAGCCCAACGAGGAGGGCGTCGTGGAGGTAGATGGTGCGTGTGCCGTTGAGGGCGGTGACATACGCGGTCTCGTCGCTGTTGGCCTGCTGGGTCAGCGCCGCGAGCGAGTTCCCGTACTGCACGTACGAGGCGTTGGTCTGCGCCATGGTGACCCACGAGACGATGCGCTCGCCCGGGTTGCCCGTGATGGCCAAGTGGATCTGTCGTTTGTGAGAGATGTACGAGTCATTGAGTTAAATGGGGATGTAGATAAGGTTAGCCGGATTTGACTGGTGGCACATGGTACAAGTTACCTGCTCAGGGGCGGACGAGAGTGCCGATGCGAGTGCAGCGCATGCAACGAGAGCGACGAGCACGAGCGCCGAGGACATTTGCACAGAAGAAGAAGAAGAAGACGAAGAAGAAGCACTGCGACGACAGCGAACAATATTGAACAAAGAGAGAGAGAGTGAGAACAGAACAAAAACACCAAATCGTGTCAGAAGATCAACTCAACGTACATTGCTTACGAAAAAGTGAAGAGTGAAGAGTGAAGAGTGAAGAGTGAACGAGGGGGGAACAGTTCTATGAGATGTGGAGGTGTTTGTGATCAAAGAGAGGGAGGGGGAGGGACAAGGGGAAGGAGGTACAAGGCAAAGATCAGCAATGGAGTCAGACAAAAATGCCATATGCCAGTGCATTGGCTGCTCGCTATCTGTCAGTCACTGAAGCTCATCATGAAAAAACAGCCCTTACAATTTGGTCTTACAATCCTGCATCCATTGGGGGCCTTTTGGTTGTTCATGTTGCATTGTAATGGAAGATGCATTGAGCTCCATTCATTCTTCTTTCTCTCTTCTCTTACTCTAACTCTCTCTCTCTCTCTCTCTCTCTCTCTCTCTCTCTCTCTCTCTCTCTCTCTCTCTCTCTCTCTCTCTTTCTGCTACTCGAAATGCCTGCTGCTGCGAGCGCGTCTGGCTCGCGTACCTTCACTTGGGAGGAGGTCGCCAAGCACAACACCCCGAACGACCTCTACGTTTCCATCCGCGGCAAGGTGCTCCATCGCATTGCTCAACAAAAAAACAGCAGCACAAGAATCAATCCCACTTCACTTCAACTGAACAGAGCACTCAACCCCAACCCCGCTTTCCACTGATAAGCACACAGTCCCTCCATTCACACCACTCGGCCTGTCTGTCTCTCGCGGATGCGTCGAGAGGTCAGAGCGTGAGAGTTTGAGAGTGAGATTGTCGCAGCAGACCTCGTGGAAAAGGGGCGACACGTTATCACCTCCAAGAGCGAGCGAGCTGCTGCCATTCACCCATTCGCCATTGCAACTTGTAATGGGGTGCTTTCTTGACGGATGACAATGCCGAGACTCGCCTGGCTGAGATGCACGAGCAAACCGCAAGGGGCGCTCAAAGACCGACGGCTCATCATGTGCTCCCGTTCGTTTTCCCACCTCGCTTGTTCAGAGGATTCCCACTCTGTCTCTCATTCTCAGCATTCTCACCAACTCACTCATTCTATCGCTGCGGGATTTGCGTTTGCGACTGTGGTTCAACAACTCGTGGTTTCCCCCCAATTGCCGCTCTTTTTTTTTTTTTTCTTTGTTTTGGAGCTCGAATCTGAGATTCACTGAACAGTTGTTTGTCATGTTACTCATCACCAAAATTTTGTGCGAATCTCAAATCACAAACAAACATTCCAGGTTTACGACATTACCCCGTTCCTCAACCGCCATCCCGGTGGTGTCGATGCGCTGCTGACCTCGGCTGGTCGCGACGTCACGCAAGTCTTTGAAATGTACCACGCGTTGGACAACAGCAAGAATCTCACGTAAGCCAGCACGGGTGAAGTTTCGCACTCTTTTTGAACATCCAGTTTCTGACCACCAATGGTTTGGTCTGTGACACCAAAACAGAAAGTTCTACATTGGTGATCTTGTCACCAACGAGCTCCCCGTCTTCCCGGAGCCCAGCCCCTTCTTTGTGGCCATCAAGCAGCGAGTCGCCGACTACTTTGTGCAAACCAAGCAAGACCCGAAGGTTTGGGACCCGAGTCATCTCTCTGCGCTTTAATTTTTTGTCGTTCCAAATTGCATGCTCATGCACTTCATTTTGGTCACCATCACTTTATCACTTGAAACAGTGGGCGCCGTGGATGTTTGTTCGCTACTTTTGGATTCTGTTCACCGTGATTGCGTCGTGGTACGGCCAGCTGTTTGTCTTCCGCGACAACACCCCCGTGCAAATCCTTCTCGCGTTCGCGCAAGGCATGGCGTGCGCTCTTGTAAGATTTAGGATTTAGGATTTAGGTTGACATGCATGCTGGAGCCATTTGCAAACGGGTGGTGATGGTGCTGATGTTTTTTTTTTTTTTTTTTTTTTTTTTTGCGTACTGCTCTGGTCTGCCCAGATTGGCCTGATGCCGATGCACGATGCTAGCCACTTTAGCATCACTCGCAACCAGACTGTCTGGCGTGTTCTCGGTGCTACCCACGACATTTTCAACGGTGCTTCGTAAGTGCTCAGCGCCCCTCGTTGATACCGCAAGTGCCAGTTTGGAATCTCACTCTTATCCGTTTTCTCGTCCAGCTTCCTTGTTTGGCTCTATCAGCACATGCTTGGCCACCACCCTTACACCAACATTGATGGCGCCGACCCAGATATTGTCACTGGTGAGCCGCGATTTGTGATTTGACTGATTTTCGCATGCGCGCACAAAATCTCAACTATTGTCTTTTTTTTTTTCTTTTTTTTTTTTTTGGAACTCGCAGGCGAAAAGGACGTCCGTCGCATCAAGACGACTCAGCCCTGGTACTCGTTCTACTACAACCAGCACGTCTATGTCCCCATGCTCTACGCCTTCCTTGGTGTCAAGACCCGCGTTCAAGACGTCAGCATCATGTTCACCCTGCGCAAGAACGGTGCCATCCGCACCAACGAGCTGTCCGACTATCACTTTAAGATTTTCGTTGCTGGCAAGGTAGAGTGACTTTTTGCAGGTGTTTGCTTGGAGACGGTCAGGTCTTGGCTCGAATTTCGAGTGTAGCTCACAATGCATCATCCTCCCTTGTTTTTGGTTTTTTCATGCTCAGGCCCTCTTCGTGCTGCACCGCATCGTTTTGCCGCTCGTTCTCCTCCCCACTTGGAAGTTCTTCTTGCTCTTCGCCGTCACCGACATGGTCTCCTCTTACTGGCTTGCCCTGACCTTCCAAGCCAACCACGTCGTCGACACTGTCGACTGGCCGTTGCCCGACAAGGATGGCCGCATCAACCAGGATTGGGCTGAGATGCAGGTACAGCTCGGGGGATTTTTGATTTGTGTTTACGATTCCTGTCTGCACAAGTCAATAAGCGCTGACTCACATTTGACTTTTTTTGCTCTGTTCCTCCATGTGCTCCCTCTTCCTCGATTAGATCTGCACCACCCAAGACTATGCGCACGACTCGTGGTTCTGGAACTTTTTCGCTGGCGCCCTCAACCACCAGACGACCCATCACCTCTTCCCCGGTGTCTCCCAGTACTACTACCCCGAGATCTCTCCGATCGTTGCCAAGACCGCGAAGGAGTTTGGCCTGCCCTACAACTACAAGGTATGGAGGATGGTGGTCGTTGGAACCCAACATCAGTGATTTTTCAAAGTGCCCTGCTCTGCTCACTTTGCGCTGGACTTTTGTCGTGCTCCCTCCGTTTGCAGGCAACCTTCCTTGAGGCGTTGGGCACTCACGTTGGTCACTTGCGCAACCTCGGTCGCGACACCAACAAGAAGTCCAAGTAAACGTTGATGCTGATTCATTTTTTTCTTCATTTTTCTTCGCCTTGTTGTTGTTGTTGCGTGCCGTCAGTTTCCATTCTATTGTCAAATAATGTCACGCGCATACGCCATTCCCCCGTGTATCATCGTCTTCCAAGCGGGAGAGTGCTGGACGCGTTTTGAAAGTGGGCATTCGCGCAAAGTTGGAAAAATCCTTGCATCCTTTTCCCCCGCCCCCCCCCCGCGTCCTCCACGCTTGAACCTCAATTTCTAGCATCCTGCACACTCTTCTCTTCTTCAGCCCTGCTCCGTCATTCGCAATGATGCGAATATGAATACAGTCCAAGTCCAGTCCACTTTTATTTTATTTAACTTTTTCCCGCGTCTTCGGCGTTGACCTTTTTGGCCCACACATCGCCGTCCAGCCGATCCCCGCGTCTCCCGCTTCATTCCACCCGGGTGTGCCTTTTGTCTTTCGTTGGGTGCATCCGCTTGTGCGAGTCGACGCTCCCCAGCACAGCGATCCTCGACTGCCCTCCGTGGAGTTCCTCGCAATCCAACTTGACAGATCTCGCCATTGAGACTCCATTGCAGACCGTCATCCACACGAGACCCTCCCCGCCCCAATGGACGGTGAGTACAACAAGCATCTGGAAATAGAAAAAACCGAGATGAATCCAACGCAGTATCTTGATGCTTTATTGTGTGGTTGTAATGGAAAGGCGATTCTTTTCTGAGTTGACTGGGATTGCATTGACAATTTCCAACCCAAAAACGCAAACTCTCGTGTGATTGTTGTGTTGCTGTTGATGTGACAAACAAAAACTCACTTTTGCAACGTGCTAAAATGTCGAAAACAAAACGATTGCTCGTTGATGTTGGATTAGGACCGGCGGGCTTGAGAGCCAAGCGACCGCTCGAGGCAGACTCACGGCCATCGACCACGACAAGTGTGAGCTCCCTGCCGTTATCGTTATCAGGTTTCAACAATGAACAGGCTGTGAGCTTGCAGAACGCCGGGCCGCTGGTCGATCCCGCCCGGAAGCGAGCGCGCTTGGATGTTACGTTGACCGATGATGGTAACGCACGCAGACTTTTGAGCATCCACTCTTGGGTTGCAAAAGAAAAAAAAATAGCATGTCGTGGTGGATGCATGCTCACCTTCAGTGAATGCCATTGTGTGTACATTGTGCAGTTGATTTTGCTCGCGTGGTGGACGACGCCCTCAATTCTGGCAACCGAGCGTACGCTCAAACTTACCTCGTCGAGTTGATTACGCGCATTCGGCCAATCGGAGTCTCGCGGTTAAACACGGCAATCCACTTGTCGCTCACGCTAATTGCCAAACGCCACCCGCGGATATTTTCAGAATCGCCAGTTGTTGATGTAAGAGCTTGTTCGAACGAGCGCGGTTGTTTTTGTTGTGCTTGTTCGTTTGCAGGATGTTATTGTTGCGCCAACTTATCTTGTCTCACACTGTTGGGTTGTTCATGACAGGAATTGCTTGCATTGCTGTCCAAGCCAGCTGACAATGCCCGCTCACGGATCAATCCGATCGCCCAATCTCTTGCAGCCAACCTGCTTCTTCGCGCGTTTTGTACTCAGACCAGCTGGCCAATTGAGTTTGTTCAGGTAGGGTGACTGTGTAGTTGTGATTGGAAGCTCTGTTGCTCCCCGAGCTATCTTTGTGGAAACTTTCTCGCTGCGCTCGTGGTCTCCTTCTCACCTTGCTCCATCTCTTCCGGAAACCATAGATCTTTATGCAAGATGCGCTTGGAGACCGGATCTGGGTCGAGTCAGAACCCGCAAAAGCGTTTGTACAAAACATTCTGACGGCGTTCGACAATGCTGAAAAGACCTATCCCGCCATTGCGCCACGGCGATCTGATGGAAGCCAGCAGCAGCAGGCCCCAATGGACGATGGAAGTCTCGTCGAAGATACAGCTGGTCGCGTGATGCGCCGCTACCTGCCCATCGAGCAGAACGAGTCGTTGCGTGTGATGGTCGTGGCCATGGTGCGCGATCACTTGCTGCGAATTGCAAACTCGTCCGCAGCGAACACTGGCACGCCGCTATTGACTGCTGCGAGCCCAGTCAAGGACATTGCTGCTGGCACTGTCTCTGCCAATACTGGTGGCAATGTCATGTTGCAATCGCGCGAGCGAGAATCGCCCCGCAATGCCATCAAAGTGCTGCAGCTGCTGGCCGCGTCAGTACCAGAAGCGAGGGCGTTTGGCGCACACTGTGTCGATGCGTGGCTCAATCATCCCACCCTGGCACGGTTTGCCCGGGATCTCTTGACAAGTATCGTGACGAACTGCACAACCAACCAAGATCAGGTGGCCGCGCAGAGCATCTTTTCCATCAAGCCAACCTCGGCGAGCGTTTCGAAAATGCTGATTGAAACATATCGTCCACTGATTGAGAATCACTCCAAGTTTCCCAGCATTGCCATTCAGGTCGGCTTTCACTTTGAACTCCAGTACGCCATCCATTCCGAGGAATTGTTGCGCTCGATGGCCCCTGCCACGACAATGTCGAGCGCCATGCTAGAGAAGCAGCAGCTCATTCAACTCCAAGCTTCCACTTCATTGCAACTCGTCGGGACTGCGCTGCAATGCATGAATCGAACCGGCGAGCGTATTCTGGCCCCACTCATGTACCAACGCCTTGCTGCCGCCTGTAAACTCGACGCTGGCATTCACAATGACGAGCTTCATAATCTCGCGGCAGTGGCGTCCTGGGAAGAGCTGCGCAGCGCCTTCCGGCTGCTCATCCGCCGCTTGACCAAATTACTCGCCGCAAACACTTTCAACGCGATCGAGTTCATGCGCGCAATGCTTGTTGAAGTTACCGAGCGTCTCAGCGAGCGAAATACCACAGAAGTGGACCTGTCCCCCGCCAGTGCATCAGCAACTCGTCAGCGAATCGTCTCTGCGGTCATCGACTTGCTCGCGCTCATCCAGTACACCGTTTCTCAGCCAGCCGCGGACGTGTTTTTGCAAATGCCGTCGTGGAATGCGACTGCGTTGTTGTTGGGCGCGGCAGGTATGGGCACATCGAATGCCGCACAGGCAGTACTCGCGCTTCACGAGCACGGGCTCCCAACCCTCCACTGTGTTTCGGTGATGCAGTCCGAGCTTGTTCGCTGGCTGTGCAGCACTACCACGCGCGTGGTGCAACTCCCGTCAACATGGGTCAAACAAGAGGCAGGGTCTGCGGACGAAAAACCTCCCACACCCTTGAACAGCTTCTTGGCAAATTGCGTCCAGCGCGCACTGTTACTCTTGCCAGTCGAGCAATACATACCATCGACAACGGGACCCGCCTGCTTGCTGCAGCCGGCGCTCGTTCAGTCGCAACAAACGTCGTCTCAACTGCAACTGCAACCGCAATCGCTGCTCCAGGACGACAATATTGATCGCAAGTGCTTCCAACTGGTGGCGTCTGCCTCGTACGTTCACGAGGAGACACTCTTCTGGGTGGTTCGCCTCACCTCGAGTCCTGCCGAAGCAACACTAACGCAGTTTGAAGTGCTTGACATTCTGGAAAAGCTGGTCACGCGTGGCGGCACGCTGCAGCAGCGCGTTCTGAGTCAGTACTTGCGCGCCCTGCCAGGCGTTCAGCAGCAGCACACAGCATCGACTGCTATTGCGACCGCGCCGGGGTTGGGCCTGTTGATTGCGTCCAGTCAAGCAGCGGCTCTGGTGGATCAAATCCTGTTGCTCACCTTGCATCCACTCCCGCGGGAGGCTCGGCTACCAGCGCAACTCCAGTCGGTTCGCTTTGCAAACACGGGCTCGTTTTGGCGTGCCAGTGTGCTCCTGGTCATCATGGCGTCGCTCAACATGCCTACGTTTGGCCGATTGGTCTGGAGCGAGCTTCCGACGCTGCGCTGCCTGATGGAGATGCTCTTGACCAAGTCGTTCCGTTTCCCAGCCGTGTCCTCTGCAGCGGCTGCAGGACCGGCGAGCAGCGCGGGCATGCTTGCGGCTGAGCAAGGCATCTTGACCACCGAGACCGCCGCCGTGCTGCAGCTGGAAGCGGCCTTGTTTGACGACACTCATGTGCGCGCGGAAACGAGTCGACTCCTTCGACGCGTCATGCTGTTTGACGTGCGAGGAGTGGCTCGCCAGCCTCCAGCGGACACTGTCCAAACGCTGGCGCAGCTGGGTGCCGATTTGCAGGTCAGCTCGCTGCTGTGCCTGTGTCGCAGCCCAGACGTCATTGTCGACGTCATGGCACGATCCTCCCCGGCACAGGTCCACGAATGGCTTCGGCCAATGCTGCAAAGCCACGAAGTTCAGCTCGTGATGCTTCCGACCAAGTGTCTATGTGAGCTGTTTGCCGCCGAGCCGATGCCATCCGTAGCGCAAGCGCGTCAGCAGCAGCAGCAGCAGCAGCAACAACCACAACAACCACACCCAGTCGCTCCAAAATCTACTGCTCTGGCTTTCCAAGCCGCCGTCTCCGACCCGAATGCGTGGCTAGACCCGTGGACGGGCTCGAGTGGCGAAGATTCTGTCAGCCTCTTGACTCGGGCCGAGGTCGCTTCCCTGTCTTTCGACAGCAGTACCACGTTGCAATCGATGGCGACCGCCTTTTCGGCCAATGGGTGGTATCATGCGCGATTGCTGAGCCATTTGCAGTCGTTGATCTTGGACTCGGCTGGCGCAGCGTTCCAAAACACGATGGATATTGTAGACTTTTTCCTCAAGCGCCTCAGCTCCGCCTCCGTCCAACAGCGACACTCTGCCCTTTGCGGCATCGCGCTCCTGGTCCAAGGTGCCGCTGCCATGCCGCGCTCACCGTCGGCTGCGGCAGTGCTGCCGACAACCGCCCTTGGTGGTGTCGCACAAGGGTTGCTCGAGCGTCTTCCTTCTCTGCCGCAATTTGGCCTGCTTCGACCTCTGATCTGGGATGCAATTCGAAATGCACTTGGCGTGGAGAGCACCGTCGACGTGATGTGTCAACTTCTCGCGTTTCTGATTCGATGGATGGAGACTGGCGACTCGGCGCGATTGGCACTGACGCTGTGCAGCGCATTGAGCTCGCGACCCGCTCTCCTGGAGACCATGCTGGCACGCTCACCAGAGACCGTGTCCAGCGTGCTTGGTCCAGTACTGCAGCAGTGCTTCGTACCCGACCTCCACGTGAAGTCGCTGCAGTCGCAGTCGCAGCCGCATCCAAGCAGCCCAGCATCTATCCGATCTGCGCTTGTGAATGGCATTGCCGTCCAGCGGCATCCATATGCCGGCCAGGCGATGTCTGCATCGCTCGTGGCGTGGAGAACTTCAAACGAAGCCTGGGTGGTGATGCCACTGGCGGTGGCGGAAGTTGGCATTGCGATGCTGGCTACGACAGACGCTTCCTCTCTTGCCGATGCGACTCAGAAGGAGGTGATGGAGAGGCTTGAAACCACAATACTGGCCACCGACAACCGCCACCAACTCCACCCTATCAACCTCGCGCTCACTCGGGATGTTGGCTCTGACGACGACGACAACGACGACGCGTCGCCGCTGGGCGTACTGCTCCGCGGCAAGGCGGTCTGCACCATTGTTCTGTCGAGCTCGAACGCGCGTCTCTTGGATGTTCTTCTTGGTCGTGCAACTCTGGCAGACGCCCTCCGTCTGCTGGTCATGCCGAACGTTTCTGCTATGGCGGTTTCACGTCTCCTTGCAGTATGCGAGGCCGCGTCTTCTGCGAGCCTGGATCATGCGCTAGATGCGCTTGACGTTTCGAGATTTTCTTCGTCTCATGCGTTGCTTGACAACACCAGCAGCAGCAGCAACAACACTAACGGTGCAACCGACATGGTCATTGATGATGACGACAAACCAGCAGAACGCCCGTTGTCTGCTCAGAGCTTTGGGCACAGACACGCCCGCGAAGCCGCCATTGATGCGTTGTTCGCTGCTCTCGACTGTGTCGCTGCGCAAGGCGCGAATGTGCCGCATCCGCGCTTCGAATCTTGGCTTTTATCGCATCAGCAACAATCCTCGGCTCCCTCGAGCTCTAACAAAGCCACTCACGGCACAACGATGGTTGTTGATGCGCCTGATAATCTCAACGGCCTGGCAGCTGCCAGCTCGACTGCTGCCAACGAGGTTGTGGATGAAGTCATGACCGCAGTTGCTTCTCCTGGCGCATTTGCGCTGCGTGGCAAAACGCGCACCACTGTCGACGATGCTGTCTCCGGTCCAACGGTTGCCGATCTGCTTCAGGCCGTGCAGCAAGCACGTTCTCGTCGCGACCACCCCAGCAAAGTGCGCATACTTGACGTGGCAGTCAAAGTTGCAGCCGCGTGTCGGAGCCACCAGCGCCTGTTTTCGCCAGACGAGTTGCCAGCATTGCTCAATGGGATGCCTGACATTGTCTCGTCGCTGAGCGTTGACGCCAAGGCCACTGGCACGCTTGAGTCAATCGTGTCGAGCGTCTTGTTGGCGTTTTTGAGCGTCGCCACTCCAGCGCATCGAGCGACCGCCTTGTCGGAGGTGGCAACGCAGTTGTTGGCTATTCTGCAGGCTGCCACCGCTGCAACACAAACAACCACGACTGCGGCCCGGAAAATGACCGCCCTGGTCGCGTTCAGTGGCATGGTGGCAGAGGTGCTGGGGCTCCTGGACGTGGACTTGCGGCGAGCTCAGTTGGCTCTCGTCGCGCCAGCGAGCGGGACTCTCGTGTCGAAAGCCAGGCAGCTCATGCCTGCGGCCTTCATTCATGAAATCACGACAAGCTCGCTTCACAACACGTCTTGGGATGCCGTGCTGACGCTGACACATCAGTTGCTTCGAAGCGCCGGTCGCCACGCGTGGCCTCCAGCCGCCATCCTCGAGTATGCCCTCGCGACCACCAGACACCCTCGCTTGTGGAAGTTTGGAACCGGCGCCGAACGAGGCGTGGCACACATTTTCACCCAGACGATTTTGTTCGACAGCGATCATGCTGTGGCACTTGCCCGACTGACTTGCGACGTGGCGGGTAGCTGTCTCTCGACGGCACACTCGACAATGCGGCTCGCTGACGCACATGCCTTTGCCAGTTCGCATTTGCAACGCTACTTGCCGCTCATCGCTTATGCAGCGCGAGGTGCAGATGGTGAGATTGTGCTCCCGACGCTTTCTGCTGTTTTGAGCGCGTTGGAACGGATCAGCTCCAACCGCCAGGGACGCGTGGCAGACCATCATGTGCTGGCGGCGCGCGCCCTGCTCGCTCTCTTGTATTTCGCCCTGCCGCTAGAGTTTGTCCGCGCTCGAGGAGATGCTCCTCTGGCCGCAACAAACGCGTTTGTCCTTGAGGTGATTCGCACGTGTCCCGTTGGGCTGATGCCGCAGACCAGCTCGCTCGACGGCCAACTGCACCGACTGTTGACTGCGCTGGTGCATCCCCGGCTTTCCTTTTCGAATCGCGCACGAATGATGCTTCAGCAGCAACAGTTCCAGCAAGTCCACTCGGATTCGACTGCGTCGGAAGATGCAGCGGACGGCCCTGCCGCGGAGGCAGAAGCAGCAGCAGGCAACTTTTTCGAGCAACCCCCGTCATCAGCCCAGGCGGCCCTGGCATTTGCATCGTGCTGCACGTTTGCACGTCGAGTGCCACTATTGATGCAGCGTGCCATTCAAGCAACGTTGATTCCACATCTGCGCGGCTTGTGCCAGGTGGGCAGTGTCGACGATCTGCTGGCACGCCGTGGACCGAGGCTGCTCAGCCATGCCCTGAGCCTGGTGACGCTTCTCAGTCCTCTCGGCGATCATTACACTGATCTGGCTTTCCAGCGGGGTGCGTCGTCCGTCGCTGCTGCTCCCATCGGAGTGCAAGTTTTGGACATTGTGATGAACTGTGCCATGCTGAATGCAGCAGTGGACTCGATCGAGTCAAAGGACGCGTCCCTGCAGAGTGGGCCTGCTCGACTGAGTGGCCGTGGAGACGTTCGTCTGCTTGGCATTGTTCGCACATTGGCCGAAAGTTTGCAGGGCTGGATGACTGACGGCGAAGCAAACCTCTGGTCGAGCGGGCTGATGGATCGGTATTCTGCGCTTGTCAATTTGAGCGAGGCGTTCTGCACGTGTCAAGAACTGGCAGCCGTGGTTCGCGCGTTGTCCCAGATTCGGGAAGGCAGCGCCGAGACGGTTGTTGTAGCGGGCACGGCGTTGCAACAAGCGTTGGACTGCATCTCAAGCGCAACTGCGGCGCTTCACGACGCCGGCCACAATCAGTCCGTGCCCATCTTGGAGCTCGGACCGGCATTGCTTGATGCGCTTGCGGCGATCGACCAAAGCTCTGTCGACCACGCAACCTTGCTCGAGCCAATCGTTCCCGAGTTACTTTCGCTTGTGACCCGATCGTCCGAGCTTCTGGGTGGCGCCACCTCACACGATCGAGACGTTGTCCTGACTCCTCGGCTGTTTGCTTGCCGTTTGCTACTGCGGTTTGTGCGCCACTCGCCCGCGTCCATGACCAGCCAGATGGTGACGCGCCATTTCGCGCAACTCCTGGCAGGCGAGCGAGGCCCCATTGTCGATGACCTGATTCAAGATGTAGCTGCGATTTCCGCCGAGTTTATCGCCCTTGATTCTGGTAGGTGGTTTTTTTCGGGTTTTTTTTTTTTTTTTTTTTTTTTTTTTGGCTGAAAGGTTGGCAAGAGAACGGTTGCTCACTCCCCCCTTCTTTTTGTTTGTTCGGACTCACACAGACTCGTCAGACCTCATGCTCGCTCTGCTACACCACCCGTCGAGCAATTCTCGAAGCATTCAGCGTGCTTTTGGATTGCTTGGATTGTAGTCTGCTCGCGCTTCACCCCAATTCGGCTTCACACTCTTGGAATTCAATCGTTGTCACCAATGCTCTCATTCATTATAGGAGGCAGCAGCTGGTTCTTGAGTTTTGCTTTCGTTGTGTACAATTTGTGTACTTGTACTTTTTCTAGATTTGAGATTTGATATCAAGAACATTTGCTTTTTTTTTTGTACCGCGCTGCTATCCTGGACACGGACCTGCTGTCACAACTCTTTTGCAGCGGATAGTTGGCTTTCAACAGTGATGGCCTCGACCGCAAAGATGCTCTCGCTAACGGCACAGGTGATCAGGACGCCCAAAATGTCCATCACGACTTGGATGGTCGGGCCGGCGTGAGCGGGATCGACACCCACGGCATCCAAGGCAAGCGGGAGTAATGTTCCAATCGTCGACGACAGGCACACGACTGCGGCCAGAGCAACAACGATTGCGGTCACGTCGTTGAACGCGGTGGACGGGCTCAAGATTAGAATCCGCGCGATCTTGAAGCCTGCCGCGACGGCCGCAATGACCACTCCCGCCACGGCCTCGCGCAGGACGAGCTTGAGCCGGTTCCCAGCATGGATTTCGCCCGTGGCGAGTCCGCGGATGACGGCGACGGCGGACTGATTTCCGACATTCCCGCCAGCGCCGACAATCGTGGTCAGGAAGAACATGACGGCGACGTGCGACTGGAGCAGTCCGGCGTAATGCTCCATAATGCTGCCACTGAGCGACTGGAGCAGCAGCAGGCCAACGAGGATGGTGCACCGCGACGCCAGCGCTGGCCAGAATGACGACGACGATGATGGTGTTTCAGAGTGAGAATCCGAATTTGCATCGTTGGATTTGGGATTGGGTTGCGAGTCGCTCGCCTGTTTCGCTCGGAGCTGTCGGCGCGTCACTGTCAAAGCAACAAAGCAAGTCAAAGAGCAGCTTTTGTGAGTTTGGAGGGATGCGTGAAGAATCACAGAACGGCCGCGAGGTAATGGGATTGTTACCCATGATTGAAACAACGGAACGAAATCTGGGACTGAAACACTGAGACAATCCTCACGCTCTGAATATTGGTACTGTATCAGGACTATATTTCTTCAAACTCTGCATTTTTTGCAAATGAGTTGGGAATCGCCAATTTGAATGCACAGTTGCTCCTGAAAACTCAAAAACAAGAAAGCAGTGGCACGAGGTCGGATGGCTCAGGACAAAAGTGAAACAGAGCGGTTTTGACGGTTTGGCGATAGACCTCGCCATCAACCCCCACCATCGACCGGCAACTACAATATGTATGAACTAGACCATGCTTAGATACGGCTCGTGTAGCGAGCGGTCGGGGTGGCTGGCGATCTAGTGCCGAGAAAACCAAACAGTGCAAAAACACAATGTTTTTTCAAACCGCTTCCAACTGGATCAATGCTGAAGCAATGCTGAAGCAAACGCGCAAGTATCGTTTATTGAGGATATACTCCTGCAGGGATGGGCGCAGTTTACAACAGCTGTGTGCATGTTCGTTTCCCACAGATCCCAAACGATCCTGTCTAACGACGGCGGCTGGGGGTCAATTTTGTTTGAGCCCTCGGCTTGTGCTGGTGATGGTTCTTGAGGGTGTGCGAGCGACCGGTGGCTGCGTTATGAACCTTCATTTTGCCAAGCGCAGTGGCGTACTTGGGGTTGGGAAGGGTTTTGGCGCCAGAGAAGGCCTGTTCCGCGCGTGCAACAACCTGACGAGACCGGATGGGTGTTTTGTTCAAGAAGTGCTGAACCATTTTGCCATCGTTGCGCTCGTCCGTTCTGCGGTTGCCGGTCCTCGACTTGATGCGAAGGTTGGCTGCGGCGTTCATCTTGGCGGTCAGCTCCCGACGAGCCTTCTCGCCCATGGGAGCACCAGGCGTATGCGTCTCGATCACGTTCAGCGTGCCCCAGCTGAACTTGTGAGCCGCATCAGTCTCGCCGGCGACCGAACCCTGCTTTTTCAGCGAGCCAGAGCGTTCAATCTTCTTGTGGCTTTCGCCGATGTAGTCTTTCGGGCAAGACATGTTTGTGGAAGAGGCTTTGAGTTTGCTGAAGAGAACAAAAAACAAAACAGGAGTGAGCTTTTGGAAAAATTTGTTTCACTTTGAAACGTCCTTCTCCCTTTTCGGGTATTTAGGCTGGGTCGCTCTCACTTTTTTGCGCCCTGGTTGTTGCACCTCAAACAGAATCCACTCGAACTGGGGGCGGGATGGTTGAGGTTGACTGTACGGGCTCAAACCACTGGTAGATCTATGACTTTTGTGTGCACGACTTCGGCTTGCGGTATTTGGTTTCTGAACCACAAGCGACTCGCACGCCCCGCCGAAGTGCCATCAAGAACCTTCAACCGCCTTGCTCTAGACCACGCCGCGATCTATGGGCACGGACTGCCCTCTGTCAATTTAGGGGCAGCGATTGGACCGAGGCACACAAACAAGAAAATGGTGGCCATTCCTGAAATGCGGTGCAATGCAACATCAATGCAAATGTCACTCGAAACTCCTATACAGTACACATGACAATGATTTGATATGAATGCTCTGGCTTGCAGGTCGACAAGGCTGCCCTTTCGCTCTTTCCGGTCGCGCTCGTCAAAATGAAACCAAACGCTTTTATTTCGCTGCTGTTATGCTCGTGCTTTGCTTTCAGTCCAGGTTTTGTCATTTTATTATTATTATTTCGACAATCATCATCATCATCAGCATGGCGACCGTTGAGGCGTTGACCGACTCGATCCGAGTCACAGCGCAGCAGCACCAGCGACTGACTGGTAACAAACCGCGATTTCCCGTCTCTTGCATCCTCCCACCCCGCAACCCCCGCAAACCCCTTCCATTACAGATGAATAGCGATGTTGTGATGACATTGTCATGGCAGGCGGGGTCGTTGGGACGGAGCAACCCCCCTCCCCTCCCGGCCTCCATCCACTCACTGCTCTGTCGATTGCCCCGCGGCTGTTGTGTCTGTTGCGTGTAGACTTGCGCCGCCGCGAGATGGAGCGGTCGTGGCTCATTCACCAGGCACTGGCACTGGCAGAGGCGTCCATGCTGCTGGGAGTCCTCCCTGCTCAAGCGGCTCAAGCGCTGCAGCAACCAGTCGCGATTCCGTCCATTGCAGACACAATGATCACTGCAAACGATCTATGCATGGCATTTCGTCTCGAAGGTAAAAAAAACCAAAAAAAAAAAAAAAAAAAAAAAAAAAACAAGAAACCAGCACAAATTTTTGTATTGGGAGGCTTTGTGAGGGAAGAAGGGGCGAGAAAATGGTCCGCTGTTCCTCAACGACGCTCAGAATGTGAGTTCATCCATCATCCCTGACCTGACCTGACCCGCACACTTACTTGTGATACACAACCATCATGGCCTCGAAAATAGCGCTGGAAAAGCGCTCGTCACACCGTCGCGCCGTCTCGCTCCACGTCAAGCACGAGTTTGCCGTGCACTACTTGCTCAATTCGATCAGCTCGTTAGCACACGAACTGCAGCTCATGAAACAAGAAGGACTCTATCAAGACGATACAGAGGACGTCATGGCGCGAATCGATCCCAACGTGCTCGAAGCCGGTCTGTCCCAATCCACCAACTTTCTTGAGCGAGCGGTCGGTACGTTGCGATTGTTTTGCTGGGCTGGGTGGTTACCCCTTGCAGTGGAATGTTCATCATCGGTTGGCAATGTGTCAATATCCATTGCTTTGAGTCAGTGAACATTTTTTCACTCATCAAAGATCCATCTTTTGTTTTTGTTGTTGCATTTTGTTGTTGCATTTTTGTTTTTTGGTTTCTTGTCGTCGCCCGTAGCGGAACCAAGTCTATGTCGCATGTACTTGCTACAGCTCGCGCACTTGGTCGGTCAGCTCAATGACAAAACAATGACATATCTCGTCGGAGTCAAGCCGGGAAGCACTGCGCAGCACGAGCGAGAGCTTCAGCTGCAACAACAACAACAGCAGCTTCAACAACAGCAGCAGCTCCAGCAAGGTTCTGGGCAAGGGACGCAAAACAACGCACACATGCAGGTTGCAGCCGCCGTTTCAGCGTCCTCCAATATGACCATGCCGCTCGGTACACGCGCAACATCAATCTCCGCCCAATCCTCGGCTGCCTATCTTGCCGCGGCGGGCAACAACGGTGATCCCGGGGTCTCTGCAGCATCGGCCAGTCTTCAGCCTGATGAGCAGTTTGCCCTGGATGTCGTGGTGGATGAAGCAAGAACCGTTGGCAGCGGATTAAATGCCTTCACGCTTTACAGCTGCATTGCCCTCCGAAGCAACGTCAGTGACGCGTCTGTTGAGAAGAGCTGCTTCTTTTTTTTTTCGTTTCGTTTCTTGTGCGATCACTAAAGCTCTGTGAAATGTTCCCTTTTTGGATGCAGGGTCCAAATCTGGTCGTTGCTCGACGCTACAACGATTTCGTCAAGTTCCGAGAATTGCTGGTCGATCGCAATCCCTCGCTGCGTGACAACCTCCCAAAACTTCCGGAAAAGAAAGTGATTGGTATGTTCACGTTCGCGTATCAAGGCTGCGACAGGAGTCTGTAAACGCCACTTGTCAAGCTGAATGTTTGGGTTGTTTTTTTTTTTTTTCTCTTTCTCCCCCTTTTCGAATTTAGGCAAATTCAAACAGGCGTTTATTCAAAAACGCAAGCAAGGTTTGGAGGTTTTTTTGCGCTTCGTGGCTACGCATCCATGGATGTGCGACCAAGATTTGCTTCGGTCCTGGTTCCTGCAGTCATTCACAGCGGACGGCGACGACAAGGAGTAGTAACGGTTCAAAGTTATGCCGATAGATTATGTTATACTTGTACATAATTAATATAAAATTGGTGAAATGTGCACACAAAGGCATTGCTGCTCAGCTCTCGCTGCAGGGAACCCACGCAACGTTACACCCGAGCGTAAAACTTGGCTCGTTCACGCCGTCGATCACGACGCCCAGCCTCACGACGCTCCCTTCTGTTGGCGACACTGTCAGCACGAACTTTGAGCTGTCCGAGCTCCACAGCGGGAGTGCTGTTGGTTTTTTGTGGTCACACAAATGCAAAGTGATAGGCTGCGATGAGCAACACTGAAGAACTCACTCAACCCGACAACAAGGCATGCATGAACGACTGACAGTGCTGGTACTGGTCCCAAAACGAAATAATTTGAGCTGCAGACCGAGTCGCATGCGCCGAAAACGAGCCGCCCCGTTTAGCAAACACGTTGGCCGATCGATGGCGAATGTCGACTTTCAGCTCGTAGCTGCCCACGGCCTGGTTTACTTTGATGACGGCAAGCTTTTGGGAGTCGGGACTCCAGAAGACCGCATCTCCCTCGATGTGGACGGTGCGCATTGTTCGGAAGTTGACCAGCGCAACAAGATGTGAGAGGTGCGAGCTGCTCATCCATTCGCTGCGACAGAAAACAGTGTTCACAGAAGGTCAAAATCAAACCGAGGCTCATCAGCCACCTGCAACCACTGTATCACATTTCACCCCACCCCCCTGCACACGTCTCTGGACTTGACACAACTTACCCGCAGGGAGACAAAGTAAACTGGAAGAAATTCATCGCAAACAAGTGTGCATCCGTGACGCGCACGAGATGAGCAAGCACCTGCTGGGTTGTCACATCCACGAGGACGACCGATGCTTCCGTCTCGTTCAGTTGCGTCAGCATGACATAGTTCAGCTCGTCGAGCGGCGCGGTCTTCATGCGGCTGGCGATTTGTTCCGACTCTTCCATTGTGATGAGCCAACGATGCGCATGCGACTGCAGATGCTGAAGTGAAAACAATCCAATGCACTGGCGACGTGTCAACCACTGCGGACAGGAATGCGCCGACGCCGGGCGGAAGGTGCCAAGCTCAGAAATCTCTGGCTCGTTGCTCTGCCCAATGCGTGCAACAAAGTACCGCTCATCCGTATGCACCAAGAGTCGCTTGCTATCTGGTGCCCATACATGAAACAGTGGCCGTCCCGTGGCGAGCAGCATCGAGGCGCCTTGAAATAACAGGTGCTGGGAATCGTACGGGGTGTCAGCAGGCAACTTGCGGCTTCCTGTGGCTGGTGACGATCGAAATAGAGATTCTGGCTCTGAGTCGTCTTCACTGTCAGGTGTAGCTTCTTCGGTACTTGGCTCTTCGTCATTGCCGTCGTCATCGACCACCAATGAAGACTGCTGTTCGACCTGCTCCTCGTCAGTACTCTCGACCGGTCCCACAGGATCTGGAGGAGCCAGGTTCGGGTCGGCGGTGGTCTCGTCCAGCACCGCACTTGGGTCTGCGGCAGATGATGGCTCGGACGGTTCAGCCTCATCGTCCTGGTCCGACTCGCCAAATTCGTCAAACTCGTCAGCATCTGCGTTGTCGGAATGATCAGTGCCAGCCTCCTCGTCCCGTTGCGCATCTTGCTCCAAAGTAGCCAGTTGCTGCATCTCTGCCGTTCGAGCGGAAATCAGCTCGCCAGTGACAGTTGTCAAATCGACAACTTTGCAAAACAAGCTGTTTGCTCCAGCGTGCAAGTAGGTCAACTTGGTCGAATCCGGGCTCCAGAAAAAGTAAAAGCAAGGCCCTGGCGTCAAAATGACAATCGACCCGGATCCGTCCAGCAGAGACACCACAATGCATGGGTAGTTGAACCAGCTGCCCGCTGCCGCAAAGCTCATGCCATCTGGGCTTGGGCAAATTTCCTACAATTCCACCACCACCACCACCCCGCAGAGAAAAGAGAACGTTGTCGTTAGGCCACTCCATAGAATCTCAGACAACACAAAGGCAGGCAGACATACGCGTCCAATTGTCGTCCAAGGGCCAGGCAATATCCGCAGCTCATCGTCGCCAAAGTGCCGAAACATCATGAAGGCTGTATTCCGATCGTTGGCCAGCGCACCTGTCGGCCACACAGCCATGGGTACAGCTGCAGTGATACACCTCGTGGCGCAGCGAGTGTCTCCATTCGGCAAAATCAGATTGACAAGCAGCGCGTCCTTCCGCGATGCGCGAATCCGCTCGCGTCGAGCCACGAGTCTCTTCCAGTACAGGAACGACGTCTGCAGTATGGTTTCTGACTTGTTTGACGCGTTGTCGGCGTCGTCGGCGTTGTCAGAGCTCGCTTCGGCGTCATCCAATCCGGCAATGGAGCGACCTGTTCGCGCGCCAAACAGGAGCGCCTCGAATCCAACAACGGGGTTGTCTTGATAGTGTCGTTTCCTATGGAATTGTTGCATCATCATTCCCGTCAGTGCGAATCCCGTTTATAGTCAACGGGCAGTCCAAGTTGAAGCTGGGGCGAGGCGGTTTGCAGCGCCCAACTCCACTCCGCACACAAGTAGACACACAAGCACTAGCTTGCATCAGATGTCCGACACCCGTACCATAGAGCGAGTCGCTTGGTCAGGAAGCGCCACCGTCGCGAAACAGCGTCGGCGATCAGCAGCGACGGCAAGTCGAGTCGCTCAAAGATGAGCTCGAGCACCTCGTCCGGCTGTAGATACCATCGGTACAGAGAGACGGAGGCAAAAGTCAGTCGTTGGAATCGCATGAGCACAAGTCAGAAAGAGCAGCAGCAGCTTCTTCCAGGCGACAATGAAAATCTAAGGAACGGAGGAATAACACAAAGTCGTATCAAAAAAAGCTCCGTTTTGAACGGATTTTACTGTACCAAGTCATCCAACTCGACCATTTGCAAAATGGGACCCGAATGAAGAATGAAGACTGCAACCGACTTAGAAGTCTATGGGGTCGTTTTTTTAAAAAGGTAGAATGAACCCCCCAAAATATGTCGTTCATATCCAGCACATGTCCTACATCGCTTTCCGTCGCTGGGGGCGCTGACTGTGGGGGTGTACACCATGCCATCAGTGTGATCGAGGGTCGGGGGCGCACCGGAAGTGCGTTGGGCGGCAGAGGGGAGCGAGTGAAGGAGCCGTTGTGTCGCGTCGTTTTGCTCACTGACTC